TACTCACAAACCACAGAATGTGGAAACAGCCAAAATTATTATTAGAAAAAAAAAGTCTTCAATATTCCATATTGATATTTTAATATTGAACCAAATATCTGATTAAAATCTTAGAATGAAGCAGTTGGGAAGAATGTTTCTTTTTCCATCTAATTGGGTAATTAACTATTTGCAACTCTCAGAAGCCGTACCTAATCCCAGAGACAAATTAAGTCGGAATCTCTTAATTTGTATTATCCATATTATTCCTGTAAGATAAGCATAGAAAGTATGCTATGATGTCATCAAATGGGTCATTTTCTCCGTAGTCTCCCTAACGATTCACACCCAGCTTTATTCTCCACACAAGCTTGTTTACATTGTTGAGATTTGAGACAACTCAACGAGTATTTAATAATTCATGTATAACACAACCTCCTCGTAAAACCCTACCATTTCTCTCTTTAGCCTTCTTCAATCTATATATATATATATATATATATATATGTGTGTGTGTGTATATATGACGACCCCAGTTACCGTGTGTTAAGATCCAAATCTGGAGATGAAATGTCCCAGTGTCATGTTGCTCACCCTGCAGCATGCTCTCTTAGTCATTATTTTGTTCCTCATCTTATTTTGTCTCTCACCATGGCAAGTTGAAGGATCAAGGCACCTACAGCATCAACTTTCACCTGATTCCTTGCCCTTCAATCGCTTCACGATGGCTCAAGCATACTCTGGTCCTAGTAGAGGGGGAATGGGTCATAAATAAATTTCTTAAAGATTTTACGCTCTTAAGATATATGAAGATTATTGTTTTTATTAATTATTAGATGTTATCACGGTTATTTCTTTCTTTTGTTTTGCACCTTCTCTTTAATCTTATCGATATTTATGCATGGTTGCTGATAAGCACAGAATGCTGGTCATGAACTTAAATGAAAGCATTCAACCATTTGTTGAATCGGGGATATATGAATGTTAGGGAATTGAGGATATAAAAAAATATATGAAAAATTTAGGAAAATAGTTTATAGTTTTTCTATAAATTATTTTTAATTATTTTAATTTTTAATATAATCTATAAATTAAAATGATAACAATGATCAAATTTATAACATGATTTTTTATATAAAAAATTTATTAAATAAGTATTTAATTATATTATTGATGTTCAGTACTGATTAGTGAAGATCAATTGCGTCATCATAGGTTAGCTCTGTTGTCTCATATAGAGGCATAGTTCACAATTAAGGCTACGAATGATAATTTATGCATGGCGGTTAGACATATAAAACGAGTGCGGTGATTTCATCTCACTGTATTAACATCAAATGAAATCGAGAATGAATCCGATTATGCGTAAATTTTTTTGTATAAATAAATAAATAGAGAGATAGATGGGTAATTTATTTTGTACTTGAATGATAAAGTGCATGATGTATATTAATTAATCGTTAATATGATATTTTTCTGTTAATAATAAATAAAAGTATTGCTTAATTACTGCAAATAATTATTTTTAAATCTTCAATAAAATTTGGCAGAAACATATTTTATGCATGACATGCGTGCAGCCGCATCTAGTCGACTAACTTGATAATTATTTGTATTGACAACAATCAAAATACAAAGAGTTATATAATTTATGAAAAAAATTGTGGAACATTTTTATAATATTTTTTTGTCATCATTGCATTAATCATTTAATTTCATAATGTTTTTCCTCTACTTATCTCTTTTTTTTTTGGTACATATCTTTAAGATAAATACATTTTCTCAAAGACAAAAGAATGCAACTGAGGAACTTACTGCAATGCATATCGAATTTGAAATTAAAATATACAGTTCATTGTGGGAGAGTCCAAATACATTGCTCAATTGAGAGAAAATTATTAGTTGGATCTTGCTATTCTCGAGTTTAACACTGCTGAATTCCAAAACATTCTTCATTTTCATGATTTTACTGTCATCTTACGATTGACTGTTAATTAAAATTCAATGAGCATAGTTATATATTTTATACATTTACTCTGGTTAATATGTAATCTTTCTTTTTAATATTTTTATTTAAATTTAATTCAAATTTTTTTATTATAACAATTTAGTTCTTTTGTCACTTTTTATTTATACAAAACCCTTAAATCGTCGTTTTTTACTCAAATAATATGAGGTTTTGTAACAAAAACTATACAGGTTTAAAACAACATTGAGATAGGAAATGATTTAAAAGGTTTGAAAAATAAAAGATTGATGAAATTTGAAGAAAAATAAAATTGTAGCTAGGATGTGTGAGGTGAAAGATCTTTAGAGGGGGAAATTTAAACATTTTTTCTCTTGAACAAAATATGTTCCGATCGATCGGCTTGAGCAAAAGAGAATTTAAAATGGTTTAATAAGTTTAATTCATTGTATTTTTAAGGAAAAATAATGAGAAACTTACTTTAAGAAAAAAAAAAAAAAGTTAACTCCCAGAGAGTTTGAATCGTGGACGCCCCTAAACATATTCATTCATAGAATAAAATTGTATTCGGATTTTACGTAGATACTGGGTGCGGCGATGTGTGGACTTTTTAGCAAAATTTGTCAAAAAGAAATTGTAAAAATTAAATTGAAAATAATCAAAATAAATATCAATTAGGATTATAATCAATTAAAAAAAAAGTAAAAATTTGATTCATTCCACCACATTTATTTGGTCACAGTCTAGGACAAAGGCCCAGACGAGCTAATAAGCTCAACGGCCCAAAATCAAAGAGGCGCCCTAATCTGTTACAACACTTTGTACGACTTTATATTGATTTATTTTTTTGGGTCAATGAAAAATCATTTTTTCAATTTTTATGTCTATAAAATATTTTATTTATTGAATAAAAATATTATTTTTTTATTTTTAAAGATATAAATATAAATATTTTTTAGTATTTATTTTATAAAGTAATAAGAAAATTATTAAAAAACATAGCAAATTTTATTGTATAAAATTACATAATTGGACCCATTGCCATGAAAATGAAGCCCATTTAGACAAGCCCTAACCTCTCATGTCAGTAATAAACGAAGAAAGTTCGGGCCATGACGCCCTAACCAACGGAGTTGACGAACATAGTATTTGTATATCTTTGAGTTAAGAATATTTTTACGATGAAACTGCTTCCTAAAACATACAAATATACCTTCATTCTTTAAATATATCTTTATGAATTTTTAATACTTTTTTAATGAAAGAATCAAATATAAATATCATTATGAAAAATATATTAATTATATATACAAAAATTTATCTAAAGACAAATAAAATCATCAAAGTATAAACATTATTTTTTTATTATTTATTCAAATTCATTACTTCTTGTGAATATTTTTTGTGAGTATCTAATAATTAAAAGACCTATTATTATATCTAAACCAGAGTTATCTGCATTTAAAATGAATAAATACGAAATCAATGTAAAAAATTATAAAAACACGGATACGGAAAACCACCGTCGTATCAAATTATCATATAGTTCAATTGTAGAGAAAAAAATTTAAGATACATAATTTGGACAGTAATTAATTTTAAAAGTTAAAAATAAAAAATAATATAGAATCAACCAAGGTTGGAGATTTATACGAGACGATGGATGATGGAACCGAGTAAAGACGGAGTTGAAGTTAATGCGGGTGAGAAAATGCCAAACGAGTCGTTTTCAAAAGCGATTCTCCAAATATTGCTTCCAACTTTTGTAGGGATTAGCGAACCATTGGAAAACCCCTAAATGACGGTAAGCACATTCCTACCAACGTGGAGTTGGTCCGAACCACGCAATCTGCTATTCTTTTTTCTATTGCCCTAAATATCATGAAACTGAAACAAAATAAAGGGCTCAAATTTGCTCCACTCCGACCAATAAAATCACCATGTTAGACTTCAAAACTGAAGCCACATAATAATCAAAACCACTTTATCTATTTTGGTTTAGCCAATTAATGACACGAATGAACTCACAATTAACTTTTATGTTTTCCATATACATTGATTTAATAATTTTTAACTTAATTTTACTACTCTGAAAAAACAAATGGTAGGACAAATTCAGTGAATCCAATCATATTAATAAAGTGTATTTCATTATAAAAATAAAATAAAATAAAGTGCATTTCGTTAAAATTTTAAAAAGTAAAATGACGCACATGCAGTTTATTAAAAATGGAGGCATTGATTAAGAAAGCGCAGTGAAAAATAAAAATAAAAAATCCTACAAGTCATACAATACTTTTATTAACTTATCAATTAGGAGCTTTGAAGCTAAAAGTTTTTTTATTTTTATTTTTTGAAAAAAAATCATAATCAAACATCTGTAGTACAGTAGTATTTTATTGCTTTTTTTAAATAAGCTAGTTGACTAACAACTTACAAGTTACTTATTTTATCTTATTAAACATAAACGTGTTTTGATAAGGTAGATAAATAAATTTTAAGCAAGTTTATTAACTTTGAGTTAGCTTTTAACGTTTTAATTTAACTTTTAACTTTCGACTAAATTATTTATTAATTTCATCAAACACACCAATACTATAAAAAAAATATATATTTGATGAAAGGAACAGAAAGTATTTAAATATTCTAAATACGAAAAGGCTGAAGAAAACGTTATGAAAAATATTAAAGGTTTTAAAACACAATAGAGGTAAATGAGAAATCATAATAAGGCAGTAAACATAAAACAAAACAGAATTAAAAACTTATGAGTGCCAAAACTGTTTATTAAGTCAAATTTTAAATAACATATAGAATAAACAACAAAGACAATTTAGTAAGAATAGTTTATAAATTAAACATTATAAAAACTAGTATGAAAAATAGTAAAAAAAATACAGCATTAATGATGATATTAAATATAAAGAAACTAGAATAATTAGGGACAGTTGGATTTGAAATAGAAAAATAGAAGGCAAAGTGCGTGTAATGGGAAGGAAGAGGGCATTATTCGCGGATAGTTTTAAAGTGGACGTACGAATGGTAGATTACTGTGATGGTGTTTGAGATTGAAATTAAAAAGCAACATCGAGCTCTGGTATTATGGTGATGGTGGAAATTAATTAGTATTAATAATCCTAATAAACATTAGAGATATTCCCATTTCCAGGTAAGAATGAAGGGAAGGAGAATAGCAACAGCAACAAAAGGCCAGAAGCATGAGGACAAAATCGTCCATCAAATAAAAGAATCGAAGCGCATTCATTTCTCTCTTTGTCGTCTTCGAAAATCATCAAAAGCAGGTGCACCCCCCTAACCTTAACCTTTACTTCACCTGCCCCATTACCCATTACCCATTACCCATTACCCATCCTTTCCCACTAAAACCCCTTCCCAATTCCGTTACCGTTATCCCTTTCTCTCTCCCTCTCTCTCCTTTTTTATTTATTAACACTCCTTCTTCACATTACCCATCCCTCTCCTTCCACCTAGAATCCTACTTTTTGGGTCGCAGGAGTGAGAAACGCCAAAAGGGTCTTCACTTCCGCATGAAGCGTCCACTTTCGTCCGCCGCCGGCGCCGACCGGAAGATGAAAAAGGTGAAAGCGGTGGAAAGCGATGACGAAGAGGGTAACGATGGGAGGATTGGTGGTGGCCTTGCCAATTTCGACGAGAATCTTCTGTTCGAGGTGTTGAAGCACGTGGACGCGAGGACGCTGGCCATGGCGGGTTGCGTAAACAAACAGTGGCATAAAACGGCACAGGATGAGAGACTCTGGGAACTGATCTGCACAAAGCAGTGGGCTAACACCGGGTGTGGTGAGCAACAGCTACGATCCGTGGTCCTTGCTCTTGGTGGCTTTCGTCGTCTTCACTCGCTTTACCTCTTGCCCCTTTCCAAGCCTCAAACATCTTCCTCGGCTTGGGGTCCCATATCGCAGGTGATTCGGTCGAAGCCGCTACCTCGTTTGGGGAAAGACGAGGTTCATCTCTCCCTTTCACTTCTCTCTATTCGCTACTATGAGAAGATGAATTGCAATAGAAGCAGATGATGATTGTTCCTTCCATTCCACGTGTTGTTCTAAATCTAATTTCGGCTTTCGGGTTTTTCTTTTGCTTTTTTTTCATTTTGTGCGATTTTTAGATTTATGTCGCCAGATCTGGTTTTTATTCGGGCAATTAATTAGTCTAAGCTGGATGTGTAAATTGAGGGGGAAGAGAAGACTGATGAGAATGTATAATGTTTTGTATGTACTTTGATTTGACGATAAATATATATTGGGATCGAATTATGATATATTTTTTTTTATGTTGAGATTGAATTGCTTATTTTGGGGGTTGTGTGAATAGATTAGGGTTTGGATCTGAGGGAAAAAGGGAATTGATTTGGTGCTGAATGAGAAATGGGTGTGGTGGGTGGAGTTGCCGAAAGGGGATGAAAGGAGGGATGGGGGGTCCTGAGAGTGGTTTTTCCGAATGCGCACAAAGAGACAGACGCCGAGGTCTTATTGTTGTATAATAAATGTCTGGTACTGCCTATGTTTTCTGGCTCTTATTTCGGCCCAATGGGTAAAAGACACACGAATGAGTTTGCCCTTCCATTGGTTCTGCAAAAGCCAAATTTTTCTTGAGGGACGATATTTGTCGCTACGGGGATCCATCTTATTTGTTTCATTTACTCCACTTTTTTAATGCATTACTCTCTTGGACGAATTTATAACTTTTCTTCTTCCAGCTTTTGCATTTCTTTCTTTTCATTATTTTTAGTTACAAGGAGGAAAGAGCCCCAAGATCACACTATTAACAAAAACTACGGCCTTAAAACTCAATTAGCATCGGAAAGTTCTAGAATCTCCAAACGATGAACCAATTTTTCATGGTGCGGGCAAAATTGTTAACTTCTCACTGGGTATGTTCTCAGTTATGTTACTTCACAAAAAAGTCAACGTAATTAGAAGAATTAGAGTCCTCCCAAATGGCTGAAATGTCTCCATCATAGGTAATCCGTCGGGCAATTAGAATGACCTTACAACTTAGCAATTGAAGCAGTAGAGATAAAGTAAGGTTTCACTCCATCAACGATCCGCAAGAGTAGTCAGGGGAAGAAGAAGGTCACCACCCCCAGCATACAAGACTTGTCTACGTTACACTTTACCCAACTTTCAAAAGCCACATGGTGAACCCATGCAAAGGGGACATGGGGAATTGCTCCATTTCTAGACTCTTTCATCAGCAAGAAACAGTATATTATCTTAACTTGATGCATGTTTGGATGCGTTTATTTTGTTGAAAATAATCTTTGATATACATACTCAAAGATAATGGATGATTAATATCACTTTTAAATTTTTATCTAATATGTCAATATATAAGGAGATGGAAAGAGAGGAACGAACACGCGAGGAAAAAAAGAAGCCCCCTAGTATGCGTGAAATGGGGACGGGTGTATGTTTTTCCTTAATTTGTTTAAAAGATAAAATCTTTTTTAATAACATAAAAATAATAAATAAAATTATATAATAAAAGTTCAATTTTTTATGTTAATTTTTTTATTTGATTTTTTACTCGTATAAATAAGTAGAGATGTTTATTTATTTAATCTAAAGAACACGTATTTTTAAACTAATTTTCTTCTATTTGTTTCTCTCATTTCTTTTTAACTATTTCACTGTTGGTTCAAAAAAATTGATTACGTGTTTCTTTTTGGGTCGATCATTACTATTTTCTTCTAACACCACTGTTTTTCCTTCAGCTAATCCGCACCAACTAACAGTTGAGCAGAATTATAGGTTCCAAGCAGATGCTCATTTGCTTATGCAAATTAATATCCACACAGTTCTCAAGCTTTGCAATAAACTATATAAATGATTTGATTAGTCGATGTTCTCGTTAATAAAATTTCACAGATGACCGATTTGTTTACACGTTTGGTAAATTGATAATATACAAATGATTTCTTACTGAATGATGAAAGATTATTATTCTTTGTACATAAAAGTGGAGACACATTAGACAATAGTGATAAATTCTCGCTTCCACCCTTATACAAACAGATTGAAAATACAATAAATAAACATAGAAGTACAAAAGTTTATCTGCAATCCCGCAAATTACTAATGCGGGATATGGAACTCTAATTTCATTACCAAAAACCGCAGGCTTGCTCCCTCTCTCTCAAAAGAAAAATTATTTTTTGGTGTTGTTTATTAATTAAATTTATAGTTTTTATGTAAAACAATTATATTTAACATTGTTATAAATTATCGAGGTAAAAATCTAATTTTAATTAATAAATAACATCAAAATAATTTTACCTAAATTTCATAAAAGAAAACAATTAAAATAATTATATATTTAAAATTGGGGAAATATAACTTTTAAATGAAAGAAATATATGCATTTATTAAAAATATAAAAATTCAATGAATTACTCGTTTAGTAATTAGAAGAATTTGTAAATATAAAAAATAAAAATATACTTATTCGTAAGTTTTCATTGTACATTTTTAAACACGTGCTACAAAAATAAGTTTTATTAATAGATTAATTTTAAACACTTAAAAATTATTTTTATATAAAAAAAATAATTGTATTTTTATATTCTTAATATAATAAATTTTTTATTTTCTATTTATTTTAAATTACTTATTTTCAATTCTGAAAATTAAAGTTAATATTTTTTGTAAAAAATATATATATATTAATTTTAATTAAAATTAATTAATACATCCTATATTTTATTTTATTTAATGAAATTTATGTCTTTGTCTTTTAAATATAATGACATAGTTTTAGTTAATAATAAAAAATCAAATTATATTTAATAATCATTAACAAGTGTTTTGAGGTGACAAAATAGACTTAGATCAACTAAACCTGTCCAATAAAATAGTATAAAACAATAATATTTTTTTTCCCACAAGTTAACAATAATTTATATTTTTTATATATTTTTAGAAGTTATAAAAAATTATCCCTTTTATTTTCTATCATTTATTAATATTTTGTTTACTTTTAATTACTTATTTTTAAATTTTAAACACTAAAGTTAATATTTTTTAATAAAAAATATATATTATTTTTAATTAAATTCAATTAATACATCTTATACTTTATCACAAAAAAGTCTTTATGTAATAAAAATATATCTTTGTCTTTAAAATATAATCACCTAATTTTAGTTAATAATAAAAAATAAGTTCTATTTAATAGCCGTCACTATATAATATATTATATGAATTAAATTTACAAAAAGTTCATGAAAGTTAGTTTATTTTGAACACTGTTTTTATAAATTTAAATTAAAGTAATGTTAATAATACACTTTCAAAGAATTTTTATATAATATATTTTTTATTATTAGTTAAATTTTATTTAAATTTATAAAAAAATTATGTAAATTTTATTCTTAAATTAATTTTAATTTTTTAATTTTTTAATAAACCTTAATCAATAATTAAAATGCATTATTAATATTTTTCAAATTATATTTAAAATTTTTACCTTATGGGGCTAAAACTTGCTGCTTGTCATGGCCAACTCAAATGAGTCGTAACTTATCTTATCACCTTTACATGTATTGATTGACACACGTTAATAAACCGCCAATATTTAAAAAAAAAAAAGACAAAAAATATTAATTATCACCGCTTATAATTTATTTACATTAACAGCAATAAAATATTGATATATTTACTCTCTTTTTTTTGTCGTGTTTGATTTATTTACTTAAAGAGGCTAAAGTTAACCTTTACCTACTTCTACTTGACCGAATAGGGAAGAGAGAGAGGGAGAGAGAGATCTTGGTGGGTTTTGGGTTTAGGGGGCAGAAATTGGTTCTTTTCTTCGGGGAGGATAAGGAGAAGGGGAATCAATTATCAATCTGATCGCGAGAGAAAATGGGGAGTTCCAAGACAATCACTGAGGTTACCGACAATTCGAATAGCAATAGCAGCAGCACCGCTCACAACCATATCTCCTTTCCCCCCTTTGCCGAAGGAGAAAAGGTCTTTGCCTACCACACTGCTTGTCTTTACGAAGCCAAGGTAACCTTTCTTTTCCCCCATTTCCAAAATTCATCTCAATTTATTTAAATCAATTATCTATCTCGTTTTAAAGGTTCGGCAAGTTGAGTACAAGCACAAAGGTTGGAAGTTCTTCGTTCATTATCTCGTAAGCATTTCTCTTCTTTTGTTATTGTTACTATTCCGTTATTCCCCTTCTCATTTTCTCAATTATTTTGTTGTTAAATTTTCAGGGTTGGAAGAAAAGGTAAGCGTGTCATCGTCTTATTCAACGTTATGTTAAGAACTGCGCCACGGCTTAGTTTGGAAGCTTTTGTGTTTTGTTGCAGTTGGGATGAATGGGTTGGTATTGATCGTTTGATGAAACACACGGAGGAAAACATGCGCCAGAAACTTGCCCTTGATGAGAAACTTGGCAATGATAAAAATGCAAAACTCCCACGTGGATTGGTTAAATCCAAGACTACTAATGGTCAGATATTTCTTTTCTTCACTTTAATTATTTCAATACTATTTACTTGCTGTATTTCTTGGAGAATTTCTCAGCAATTTTCACTTCCCTTGAATGCTATTGTTGACACACAGCACAAAGTTCACTTAGTGACTGTGCGAAAACTGCATCAATTAGCAGCATAACGTAGGATTTCGTTTTTCTATATCTTGTTCTCAACTACAGAGCATAAAGGTTGATGTTATCTGACTAGCCATTTAGGAATTCAACTAAATGGATCATTGTAGTTTTCCTGGTGGCAATATGAGATGCAGATTCTATATTTATTTGTCTCCTTAGTTAACGTGTAAAGTTTAATGACTTATCTTTTAAAATATTGCAGTCAATTTGTTTAGTGAGTGATGGTGGAGACTTGGGAGGAAATAGATATGGGGCCAATGATAGAAAATGTTTATGCTTAGTTGGAGCCCCACACACAATAATATAGATCTGACCATGTACAATGCCTTGCATGATTAATAGTTGGGAGCCATATAGCCAAGAATATATATGATCTAATACTCAATGCATTTGTTATTTTAATTAGTTATTCTTGTACCTTTTGTTGTAAAATAATTGGGCTCTATGATTAATTACCACATGCAAATATGTTTAGATCAACTTTTACTTCAGTATGTGTCCCTACTATTTCTCTAAGACGTTCTGAAAAATGCAATGCAGTAACAAGAGGCAGGAAACGGAAGAATGAATCTGTGATTAAGGTACTCTCTCATTTTAATTTTTAATTAGTATAAGGCACTGGTCATACACCCATGCTTCTTTGAAGTTCATGTAGATCTTCTGCATCAATATAAACTGTTAGTCAAGTTAGTTAGACAATTCAAGTTTTAATATTGCAAACTTTTCACGCATGGTTTGCTCCATGTGGATGTAAGGGATTGTTTTTTCACAAATTCTTTTTTGGCCTATAGGGTATAAATTTAATTGATTTTATTGTTTGCTTATTTCTAGAGAAAACCTGTGGTTCATCCTGACAAGCTTGTCAACATTCAGATTCCTCCAACACTAAAGAAACAATTAGTTGATGATTGTGAGTTTATTACCCATCTTGGCAAGGTAGTGATATCTTTTTTAATATATTAATTCAATTTCTAAGGATTAGTCAGTGCTTCATTTCTTTCAGACGTGAGTTGACATGCAGAGATAGCTTGTTAGTTGTTACAGAACACAGTTTTACTTCAGAGAAATCATTTTCTAATTGTTGAGGTTATGTTTTTTATTTTTCTTTCTGCAGCTCGTTAAACTTCCTCGAACTCCTAATGTGAATGACATATTGAAGAAGTATTTTGATTACAGATTGAAGAAATGTGGATCGTAAGTACATGCTGATGCCATTTTTAAAGCTTGATGTCAAATATTTTTCTATCTTGGGAATGTACGTGTGTGTCACATTATATTGAACAGTTAAGCAATTTAAACGACAACCTGGACCCATTAATTTTTTAAAATCAAAGTTGTTATTATTCTTAAGAATAAACCACTTCATTAATCTTTTGACAAATCATTTACACTTCTATTATGTATTCTTTTCGGATTGTAATTAGTTTTTCTGTCCAGTCAATGCCATATCCAAGTACAAAGTTCCATTTTAATTAGTCTCTGCCAGTCTGCCTACAATCTGCTTCTTAAGTCCCTTATTGTCTTGTACTTGTCTTTTTTAATTATTTAGTGCCTTCAATTCATTACTCCTCCAGCTGTTTGTTTTTTATACAGCTACAACACCCTTTATATATTTATTATGGTACTTATTTTTACTGTTTTAATGCTATGTTGTATATAGGATAGCTGATTCAGTTGAAGAAATTATGAAAGGATTGTGTTGTTACTTTGACAAAGCACTGCCAGTGATGCTCTTGTATAAGAATGAACGCCAACAGTATCATGAGGCTTGTCCTGCCAATATCTTTCCTTCTACTGTATACGGTGCTGAGCATTTGTTGCGTCTCTTTGGTATGCTCATTTGTCTGCCACTAGACAAGCTTATTACATGAAGGATTACAAGTTTGACTTTTTGTTAGTTTGTCATGACTTTTGATTCATTATTGCATCAAGTTGTAATGGAAATACAAATGGTGATGGGGTTATTCTGCCCCGACAGGACTGAAAAATGCTGGCCCTTAGGTTAAGCCTGACTTGAGTTTATTATTGCTATGAGGTCAAGTTTGCATTTTGTAGAGATTCATTATCAGGACTTCCAATACTTTGTGATCCTAATTACTTGTGCTTTTTTTTTTTTTACTGGATTTGAATTTTGAAGTTAAGTTGCCCGAGTTATTGTCTCATGCTAGCATTGAAGAGGAGACATTGACAGAACTTCAGGCGCAATTACTGAACTTTCTCAGGTTTTGATTTTTTCCTCCTAGTTTTATGTTTAAAACAGTCATTGGCGATGGATTTAAATGGAAAAAAATTCTATTGGCAGTTGACATTGATTTTGTGGTGCAGGTTCTTGCGAAAAAACCAGAACACGTTTTTCCTTTCTACCTATCATGTTGCAGAAGATATTGAGAACAGCTCCAACAAACAAGGTGACTAGGCTTGGGGACAACAATTTATTCTGCATTGTACATAATACCTGGTATAGAATGCTTTTGTCACCGTTGCAGTTTGCTTGTTGAACAAAATTTGAAATCAAATTTGCGAAAGTAAACCCGTTGTTTTGAGATCCCAACATATCCAGGGTACGGAGAGTGTAACATTTACAGAAGGAAAATGTTTACTGACCCTCAATTTTAAATGTTAGTTTTATTTCTGAATTTCGTTTTATATTGAACATGCTTTTTAAAATAAAGGTTGTGATTTCACTGTCTACCCAACGCTCTTTTAACGTGTATGTGACGATTGGTTCCTAACTCCCTACCACAGCCGCACACACGGTGAATTTTAATCATACAAGTTAGATTTATTTTGGTGCAAAAATTGTTGTAGTTTAACTTTTATTGCATTTCGATGCCTATTGCATACTTTTCTATTCCCGTTTTAACATTGATTTTATATACTTATAAAATATATGAATCGGGGTTATATGTATATTAAGTTAATTTTAACTGAGAGTTTTGTTTGGGAATATTATATCTATATACTGTGCGTTATCAAAGTAAAACAATTGTTAATTTGTACGTAGTACAAAAAATTGAACTAGTTATTTTTAAAACTTAGAAGAATATATTGAGCGGGAAGAATGCTCATGACTTGAAGGAACAGATGACCCTAAAGCTACCAAGGGTTCAAGGCTAACTCATTTCATTTTATTTGGGAAGATGATGGTCAACAATTACATAGCTGTCCCTCTTCCTTTCTAATGTCACCTTCATTAATTTGAATAAATATTAATTCAATAATTCACTATATTTTATACATTCCTTTGCGATTAAGTTATAATTATATTTGAATTAGAAAAAATTATTTATGCCAATATAAGATAATAATTTCCGAAACACGAGGGTGTGAAATATTGTGGAATAGTAGAATGCCTTAATCGTTGACTTGAAAAGAGAATACCAGTGGATAAGAGAAAAATAATGGAGGGCTATAAACATCATGATATCTTTTTATGATCCTAAACATCATACTATATATATATATATAATTCTCTTTAATATTTTAAAGTAAAATTATAATGTATTAAGTATATATATATTTTGTATACATATACAAATGAATTATTCATCAATGTATTATGTCAAACCTATAAAAATAAACTTCGATTTATTTACATGCCTAGATTTGAATAATTTTCAGAATTGCCATCATTTTGCTAGGGGAAAAATCAAATCCGACTTGTTTCAACGTGCGAAAATAGTCATAGAAGATGATAATATATAAAACGATGTCCTTGTCAAACAATATTCCTTCAGACAAAAAGTCTTTCTCACGTAGCCAATGCCAGAACGATGAAGCCCGAATTTATATATTCAAGTCAAATATAGAATGAAGGCAGCAGTACTATTCTGCTATATATATATATATATATTATTTATTTATTTAAATAACAAAAATTTTAAGAATTACTTAAAAAAATATTTTTAAAAACTGTTATTTTTCATTATGGGGTTATATATTTTTTACATTAAATTTTTATTTTTATAATTTTATTATAATAATAATAATTTTAAGTTTAAAATTTTATAAAATTTTAAAATAATTATATAATATTTTTTAAATGAATTTAATAATATAAGTGAAATGCGCAACTTGAATTTGTAAACTTAAAAGCGGACATTCGAACTGTATTCATAGTACGTACTATTATATATCGAGGTTGATCAACGTGAAAAGTGGGATCCTGCGAGTTCGTGAGATTCCATGGCTGTAACATACCCCTTGTCGTTGATCCTCCTCTCTCTTGTTTTCTCTATACATCTTTCATCTTCAGAAATCGAAACTATGCGTCAAGGTTCATCCCTCTCAGTGGATAATCCAAACGACGTCATGCTCTCACCAAACGGCATGTTCTCCGCCGGCTTCTATGCCGTTGGCGAAAACGCATATTCCTTCGCCATTTGGTTTTCCGAACCCCATCCCCAAACACGAAACCCCACCGTCGTATGGATGGCAAACCGTGACCAGCCTGTAAACGGCAAGCGCTCAACGGTATCCCTTCTTCACAGCGGCAATCTCGTCTTAAACGACGCCGATAACTCCCACGTTTGGTCAACAGACACCGTTTCACTGTCCTCCTCTGTGCACCTGCTTCTTAACGACACCGGCAACCTCGTTTTACTTGAAGAGGATGACGGCGTCGTTTTGTGGCAAAGCTTTGATTTCCCTACAGATACCCTTCTACCTCAACAAGTGCTCACCAGATACGCAAAACTAATATCTTCTAGAAGCAACACTAACAAGTCCTCGGGTTTTTACACCCTTTTCTTCGACAACGATAACATTCTTCGTCTTCTCTACGATGGTCCTGAAGTTTCAGGCCTTTACTGGCCAGATCCTTGGTTTAACAATTGGGAGGCTAATAGGGCTGGTTACAATAATAGCAGAGTTGCAGTGATGGATACTCTTGGCAATTTCAGTTCTTCAGATGATTTCAATTTCATGACTACTGATTATGGCACCGTCATACAAAGAAGATTCACCCTGGATCACGATGGGAACATTCGTGTTTATAGTCGGAGATTAAGTGGAGAAGAATGGTCTGTTTCATGGCAAGCCAAAGCAAGACCATGTAGCATTCATGGTATTTGTGGCCCCAATAGTTTATGCACTTATAATCATGATCGTGGTTTGAATTGTTCGTGCCTTCCGGGGTATAAGATGATGAATGTTGGTGATTGGTCTTATGGCTGTGAACCGAAATTCACTGCGTCTTGCAACGTAACCGAGTCTCGGTTTTTGTATATAAGCAACGTGGAGTTGTATGGCTATGACTATGGGATCATGGAAAACTATACGCTTAAGCAGTGTAAGGACTTGTGCCTGCAGTTATGCAACTGTCAAGGGATACAATATACCTATGTATTTGGGCCCAACACTTATACATGTTATCCGAAGTTGCAGTTGCAGAATGCTTATCGTACACCGTATTTTAATGCTGATCTGTACTTGAAACTCCCAGCAAACAGTTCATATTCTTTTGATGACGTAGATGATTACAGTCTTGATTGTTCTTCGAGTTCGAGAACGATGCAGCTAGAGAGAGCATATGAGAAGGGTCATGGAAACAGATATTTAAAGTTCTTGATCTGGTTTGCAGGGGGAGTGGGAGGGCTTGAGGTTTTGTGTATATTTCTGGTTTGGTTTTTTCTGGTGAGAACCAGGCAACCATATTCTGGTGCAGATCAACGAATCTATAATTTGGCAATGAATGGTTTTAAAAAATTCAGTTATTCTGAGCTGAAACAAGCCACCAGAGGCTTTAGCCAAGAGATAGGAAGGGGTGCAGCAGGGACTGTATACAAAGGTGTGTTGTCTGATCAACGAGTTGCAGCAGTGAAGAGACTCAAGGATGCTAATCAAGGAGAAGAAGAGTTCCTCGCAGAAGTAAGCAGCATTGGAAGGCTTAACCACATGAATTTGATTGAGATGTGGGGGTATTGTGCTGAGGGCAAGCACAGGCTTCTGGTGTATGAGTTCATGGAGCATGGCTCTCTAGCAGAAAATATCAAGTCTAATGAGTTGGACTGGGCCAAAAGGTTTGATATAGCCTTAGGAACAGCAAAGGGTTTGGCTTATATCCATGAGGAGTGTTTGGAGTGGATTTTGCATTGTGATGTGAAGCCCCAAAACATACTTTTGGATTCCACCTATCAACCCAAGGTAGCAGATTTTGGGCTGTCCAAGCTGCGGAACAGAAATGATACTAAATACTCCAGTTTTTCAAGGATACGAGGAACCAGGGGTTACATGGCTCCTGAATGGGTTTTCAATCTACAAATCACCTCCAAAGTTGATGTTTATAGCTATGGAATTGTTGTGTTGGAAATGATCACAGGAAAGAGCGCAACAAAGGATGTTGATGCAACTACTGATGATGGAGTAGAGAAGCAGCGTTTCAGCCTGATCACGTGGCTTAGACAGAAACAGAATGAAGGATCTCGGTGGGTTAATGAAATCTTAGACCCCACCATAGAAGGAGGTTATGACGAGGGTAAGATGGAAGCTTTGGCTAGAGTAGCTCTGCAATGTGTGGAGGAAGAGAAGGACAAGAGACCCACCATGAGCCAAGTAATAGAGGTGCTTCAGAAATGTAGCCGCGAAAATGATAATCAGTGATCATCAAAAATTAAGTGTCATCTCATAAATAATCCGAATTTAGTGCACTCAAAAAGGGTGCAGATAGTGTCATCGAATATAAAATACTGCTACGTTACATTTTGAACAATACAAATTTAAAGTAATAGTATTTTACATTCGAATGTACCAACTGTGCTGAATCCAAAACCTCTCATGAATTATCATTAGGAATGGTGGACCCAGGACTCTCCCGTGTTCAGTGCTGCAAACTAGAAAAATTGAATAGCGTGTTGTATATCTTAAAATGAAAGTATTATGATTTGGTGTTGATGTGTGTTAATCATAAAAACAGTCTTTTAGTTTTCATACGAAGGTTGCCTAGTTTAATTTTATGTAATGACAAGAATCTTGTGTAATGGTTTCCTTAATTAAATGGTGTGCATAGGTGTGTATCATGTTTAAATATTTAGTGTCAAGAGTAATCCCTAAGTATGTCAACTTTTTTTCAGTGACTTGATCAACAAAGCATACCATATCGCTATATCCATGTAAGTTGTTCGTAATTTTAGGCCAAGCATGTGTTGGACAAGATAATTGAATAATTTATGCATTAGGTAGTTTATTTGACCTAAAATAAATTATTGAGATGTTTAGTTAGGATTTATTTATTTATTTATTTAAAAAAAATTACTAACTTTTTTTTTCCTATTAAAAGAGGCTACACAGCCCAACAAAACACAATTAACCTTCTATTCTAGAATTACAGATACCTACAAAATTCAAGCTTAAAAAGAGAAGTAAAGAAAGAGGACCCTTATTAACATAAATAGTATCTATAACAGCCTTAAGACTTAATTTGACTAATATATCAGCATATTTATTATCTTTTCGTACTTATTAACATAAATATAATCTATAACAGCCTTAAGACTTAATTTGACTAAAATATCAGTATACTTATTACCTTCTCTACGAATATGGTTGATTCTAATGAAAGAAATATATTTGAAAATATTTCTAATAACAATAATCAAATAAAAAAATAGATAATTATATCTAGAAATATTCAGCACTAGCTGCACAACATTTTTAGAGTATGATTCAATCCAAATTATTTGAATTTGCTTCTGAGTTACCAACTGCAACCCATAGAACAAACTCCATAATTCAACTTTTAAAGGTATGCAAGGCTCCAGACTTATGTATAAACCAGAAGTGAATTTTCTATTACTATCTCTGATTAATCCTCCACATCAGCATTTTCCATAGAACAGATCCCATAATTTAGCTTTTAAAGGTGTATGAGAAATATGACTAACTCTCCTCTTTGTCCTAGATGTGATTTTGATCCAAAATCTATAATTCATGTATTTAGATACTGTTAATTTGTCAAACAGGTCTGGAACTTTAAAAATTGGGCATCTTTCTTTAACACGGGTCTATTGAACTAGCTTCTAAATAATTTATCTAATTCTCAATTGAATAATGTTTTTTGTTAGAATAAGTTGTTTGGTCTATCTAAGTATTTATGTAAGGAAAAGAATTGCGTCATTTTCCAAAACTCTGTAAATACTCCTAGTGTTTTATATCATAAAATTTACTATGAATTTGATTACTTGATTACTTTTACAGAAATAAGGTAAAAGCTCTTAATAAGCTATCAAAAAATTCTATTTAAAATAGATAATATCCTCTCCCCAAAATCATTTAAAGCTAAATGTTAATGTAGTTGTGTCACAAAAAATTACTAACTTAAAATTTCATGTTCAATAAGCTAATATAAGTAACATATCACTTATACTCAGGACTTTTACCATTTTTATCTATTATGTCTTTGTTAATTTTAAAATCTGTAATGTCCCTAATTTTTTTCTCTTGCAAACTATATTTTATTAATATATTTAGAATTTAATTTAAATATATTAATAGTGTAAAGAAATTACTTTGTCATCAAATTATAGATTGACATATCAGTAAAAGTAATTAATATAAAAAAATTTATGATATATTTTAATTGGTTGACGCTGTAAAATTTTTTACATTAATGTATCAAAATTAAAGATTTATTTTATGATAAATTTTAGGTATAATTTTTAAATACACTTTTTATATTAGTTTTTAAATTTTAATTTTATTTTAATAATTTGTAATAACTTTAAATATAGATATTTATATCGTCACAAGTATTATGTTTTTCTTATCTAGAGAAATGAGAAGCTACGACTCCAATTGTTGCCAAAAAAAGTCATGTTGGGAGCGCTATATTTCAATTCACTTGATTTCCAAAAAAGGAAGAATGTTAGAAAAAAAAATTTTTACACACATTTTTTAATAAATATTTAATTATCAATTAAAATTTATTAAAAACTGTAAAAATCAAGTGAACCTTTTTTTTTTTTTCCTTTTAATCTATTATTTCTCTTTTATACTTTTATAAATTTTAATATCAGTTGAGAATGTGTTAAAGAACATGTAATTACGATTTATATATCTTGCTAGGAGACATGGAGATGATGGAAACTGCCAGCAAGTTTCGGGCACTTCACTCATAGGTTCAAGAAAGAATAAATACGCCTTCGTTTTGTTATTCCAGTCGAATAATATGGCTAGTTGATAGAACGTAAAAGCCATCAAAATGGAATTAACAGCAAGTTCCTGCTGTGTTTATGGAGTAGTGTTTGGAAACCTTTATCAAAATATGTGGGGATACTTTTCAGAAGGCTCAACATTGCATTGGGTATATCTATGGAAAGAGCCCCATGACAGGTGTCCAAGGAATTGATGGAACAGAAACGAGGCAGCGTTGGCTTTACCATGTCTATAAGAAGACGAAAGATGCTGTTGCGGAGACGTTAAAAGCCATGAAAATGATTAAAACATAAACACTTGCTCTCGTTTCTTTTTCTTCTTGTCTATTCTATTAGCACTTCTGTTTTCAGATATACTTGTACCATTTTCTTGTGCAAGTATTTGTATTCATACCAAGATAATTATAACTAAAAATAAATGTACAAATAGTAGGGTCTATACAATTATCTGGATTAACATGCCCTTTTAAGTGCAGATAGTACTTTAAAAAGCAGAAGACATGATGAGTTGGTAGCCATTATCAAAGGATTGCGCAGTCACAACATGCAATCTCCCTGTTTGATTACGACATTGGAAAATCAATAATAACAACAAAAAAAAATCTTTTTACTGGATATGAAAATTTATTATTTTTTGAGTCGCATACATGTAGCTTTGTTTGTGGCATTAGCTGATTCGGTAACTGCGGCAGGGATATGAAATGGGATATAGAGTTACAAAATGTGAAAAACAAGTACAGTCCAACTGTGCAATAGCTAGTAACTGCCAAGATCCTGTAATTAGCACATAGAAAATGTTCTGAATGTTTATGGCAGAGCACGTAATCCATTCCACAAATTCTTAGTCCTACCTTTGTTGTTTAGGTCTGATAGTCCTACGTCACTTGTTTTTTATTTTTACCTTTCTTCGGGCCACGGTCCTTTGTTGCTTTCGGCCAGCCCATAGTCCCACTTCACTAAAATGAACATGGTTTTCAGTTAAACAAGACAAAAAAAATATAGTATCTATAGGCCCAAATAAATTGTTTGCTCTTCAACAACCAATATCAATTGTGGAGGAAGGGTCCAACTCGTATCCGTAAGGCCCAAATCATCGATAGAATTTTTTTTTCTTTCAGTTTTATTAAATTCAGTATTTAAAGATAATTTTAAATATCTAAAAATAATAATTTTTTACTAAAAAAATATTCAATGAATTTAAAATTTAAAAATATAATACTTTTCTTTTAAAGTTATTACTATTTATTTAAAGTGTAAATTAAAATAATATTTTATACTTTTTAACGGATAAAATTATTATTATTATTAAATTTATATTAAATATATATAATAAAGAATAAAATTTAGTAATTTATTTTTTGCTATAAAATTTAGTATTTATTTAAAAAATATATAAATATTTTTGTAAATTTTAAGATAATAAAAAATTACAATCATTAATTAAAATAAAGTATAAAATATCTTTTCTAAACACGGTAGCAAACATCTTTATTAAATTTTAACTTTAAAACTCTTCACATTTTTTTTTTCTTTACGAAAGTTCAATGGATGTACCGTAAGCGGAGACGTTGGAGGTTATTAAACGGACCCAAACCAGAAAAACGGTTCCGAACAAAGTACCACCTGTTATTAATTGATACCAGAAATGTTAACAACATGTTATTTATATTACCTTTCTTTATTTGACAAGTTTATGTAGTATTTACTAAAATTTAGGTTTATTTATTTATAAATAATATAAACTTTATATTATTTATTTATGCTGCACTTACGTTTCACTGAACTGAAATATTGTTTATATTTTACTAAAATAATGCCTTTTGTATATTTTATTTAATAGTAAAACTTGTTAAAAAAATCATGTAAGAAACTGTGATTAATATGTATTTGTAATTTTTTAACTTAAAAAACAAATGTGTTTTCTTATAATTTATTACTACAATAACTCTATTTTCTTTGGTCCGAGGCAGAGTGGGAGTTATAGAACATTTGTAGAGTGGTGGCAATTGGCATAAATGATAAATGTACAAGCAAAAAACAATTGGACAAATGTGTGACATGCTGTATGTAATTCTATGAATCCGGGTGGTCCAGGGGATTTCATTGTCTAGCCAATAAATTTGACCAATCTCACGGATGGAACGAAGTAGAAAATAAGTGCCATTTGCCAAGTTGCTATAGGGCATGCCAATGCTGACATGATTATATTATTTGTTTATACAAACACTACCATGCCTCCAATGGAATCTACGAAATTAGGTTGAAAATACAAATATAGGACATAGCTGCCAGTTGCCATTGATTTTTATTCTAATTATGACAGCTGCCTTCGATTGACCCAAATTCTGCAGTGCATGGTTTCAGTGAGATCACACTCATTTCTTTTGGTTTGACGAGTGATAGTGGAAACTCCCATTTGCCATTCAATATTGCAAGGGGGTAGAGTTTATACTTACAGTCATGTCCATAGACTAAACGATGAGTGATGATTTATAGAAAAGTGAGAGATAGGTTGAAGTATAGGGAAAGTAAGTTTGCAGTGCAGAGATCATTAATTTAAAATGACTATGTTATAGTGAGTATGAAAAGAAAATAAAAATGCGAGATATCAAGACTCTATACATATGTAGTGGAAATCTTTCCCATCGATTATCTTGGTTTGGGAGCCTTGGACAATTGGAAAATGTTTATGGTACATTTTCTTTTTCTCACAAACAATTATAAAAAATCACGTGTTACAAATTAGTTTTGATATACTCTTGGAAATTATAGAAACTTTAATACAATCAACAACTAAAATATATATTATGTATATTTTTATATAATTATTGAAGTTAGTAATTCTCATTCATATAATTATTTATGATTGAATGAAAATTTTTTATATTCTCAATGCATTCTTATTTAATTCGAGAGAGCAAGCTAGAAAAGTCAATAGTTGAGAAGGGAATAAAATGCCCGTGGTATTGGTAGATACAAATGCATAGGTAAGATACTTTGGACTCGATTATGAAAAGTCCATCTCAGTTGGCACTGCCAAGGAAGTTTCGTTTCAGTTTGGTGGAATATGTGTAAACATGGAACTTGTTTCTAGATATTTAATTTGGAAAAATAAAATTAACATTTGCAATCATATTAGAATTAATGTGTGTGAATATATATATATATATATATATATATATATATTATAATGTTTAAGATACATAAAAATAATTTTATAAAATTTTACAAATTATCACTTTTCCTTTTATTGGAAACCTTTTAACCTCCTATTCGTGTTTGTTTATTTTTTAAATTTCAAAATTAATTTTTATATTTTACAATTAAAGCATATATTTTAAGAAAATATATAATTAAAATTAATTTTGACATGCATCTTAATTATATTTAGAGAATTATTAGTAATACACTTTTTATCACATTATTTTTAATATATTTATAGTTATTATTTAAAATTTATCTAAAAAATATATAAAAATATGTGAATTTTATTCTTATTTAATGATTTTTTTTCTTAATATAATTATTTTTATCCATAAATTTATTTATTTATAACAAACAATAGCTAATAGTCGTGAGAATATTAAAAATAATATATTGCTAAATAGTATTTAATAATTTTATAAAATTATTAATATTTATTCTAATTAACTTTATTAGAGAAACATCGTCACTTTTCTTCTAATTCTTACTATAATTTGTTGTTTTAATTAATTTTTAATCAAAATCACATGTATTTTTTATTTAACTTTTTTTCAAGAATATTCAGTAAAGTATAACTGTAAGTAAAGTATAACTATTGATAAAATATAGAAGCTAGTGTCTTAGTCATAGACTCACAGCTGCATATTATTTACTATCTAAGTAAAGAGATAAAATATAGAAGCTAGTGTCTTAGTCATAGACTCATAGCCGCATGTTATTTACACAATATCTAACTAAAGAGATGTCGATCGGGACGTAAATAATAATAAAAAGTGACATGAATTTAAGCCTGTTAAATACATCATATAACCACGACATTCACTGTAGAGATGGTACAAAAATTATTCTTTCAATCTAATCACGTCTGTTTTTTTTTTTTTTTTCATTCAATTTAATTTAGATACGATATGTATTTTGCATCGATGTAATAAGTAAATTTTTTTTACATATATAAAAGCTCAAATTTAATATATTATTTAAGCAATATCAAATTGCTTCACACTCATATCAATCTATTCGAATTGTTTTATTTTTATTAATGACTTTTTGTAATATTTGTTATTATTGGTCAGATTATTATATTTTTTTAAAAAACATTTTCCTTTTTTCTCACCATTTACCAGTTTTTTTTTTTTTTCCTTTTCATCTCTCTTTCTTCTTTCACTCATTTCTAACGAACCCAAATTAATAAGGAAAATATCCTTCTTTTATCATGGCGTGATTTATGTAGATATTTGAGAGGAAACGAGCCTAACTAGGTTAAATCCTCCATAAGATAAACTATTGTTTTGACTTCCTTATGATCTAACTTTGTTCCGTTCCAATAAGAAGAAATTCACTAATCTTTAACTCACAAAGGATCGCCATCTACAAGGCAAAAGGATCTATGAACAATAAATATCTAAAATAAAAATCATAAGTAGCTTTTGGTTGTTATAAGTATCCATGGAGAATAAAAAATGTGGTTTAAATAATATTTGTCATAAGAAATAATAGCATAAATAAAGCTTATTTTCTTATAATACAATATATTTTACAACAAATAAAAGAGATAGAAAAAGAAGAAAAGTACGGGATGAAATTGCAGATTGGCGATGAAACAGACAAAAAAGAAAATTTTATGAAAACGATCCAAATATAATATTTTTCAAATTGTATTCGTATATTATGTTGATTTTTTTTTCTACATCAGAGAGAAATAAAAATTATTTAATCAAATTAAAAAAATTTGGTTGTGTGAATTTATGTTCGTATTCATAAGCAATATTAAAAGAAAAACAAAAAAGCAAAACAATAGAAAAAAAATCGCTCACATTGCATCAGCAAAAAGAATACGTCCAAATCAAATTGTATAACACAGTCTAATTGCTGTAATTAAGAAATACCGTAGAAGAGGACATGTCAGATAAAATAAAAATGTGTAGTCGATCCTTTTTTTTTCTTTTTTACTAGCGTTCACTTGTTATTTATAATAAATACAAACAAATTGTTTTATTACATATAGTTATATTTATTATTTAATATACACTAATTCAAAGTACACTTCAAAAATTTTATTGTCATTTTTATTTTCAATTACACTTAAAAGATTAAAAATTGTCTCAAATAATTATATTCAAAACATTATCCAAAAACAAAATATCACGTATTTGTAGAAGAATCAGAAAACCACAACGCAGTACGCAGCGGCAAAAGTGACAAAACAAAAGATATAACTAACGAGGGAGAACTTCATTTTCTTTCATGGGACTGAAGCATCTCCGCTACTTGGCTCATTGTCGGTCTTTCATTCATGTCGTCTTTAACACATTGCAAAGCCACTTTAACCAAAATCTCAACTTCTGAAACATTGTATTGGCCTTCCAAGTTGGGATCAGCTATCTCCTCAATCCAAAACTCACTCGTTGGTGCAATGTTTATCTTATCTGTTACCCACGTCACCAACCTTCGCTGCTCTATGCCTTTACTGTTCTCAAGGCTATGGATTTCCATAGGACTTCTTCCAGTTACCATTTCCAACACCACAATCCCATAACTATAAACATCCACCTTAGAAGTAATGCGAAGATTGTAAACCCACTCCGGAGCCATGTAACCCCGTGTTCCTCTTATTCTTGAAAAATTAGAACTTCCACGCTCATCTCTATTCAAAAGTTTCGACAACCCAAAATCTGCTACCTTGGGTTGGAATTCAGAGTCAAGGAGAATGTTTTGAGGCTTCACGTCGCAATGCAAAATCCACTCCAAACACTCTTCATGTAAATAAGCCAAACCTTTGGCCGTACCCACAGCAACGTTAAACCTCTTCTTCCAATCAAGTGCATTAGCAAAGAGATTGTTTGCTAAGGATCCATGCTCCATATACTCATACACCAAGAGCCTGTGCTTCCCTTCAACGCAGTACCCCCACATGTCAATCAAATTCATGTGGTTCAACATGCCAATCGTGCTTATTTCAGCCAGGAACTCAGCTTCTCCTTGATTAGCTTCGCTTAAGCGCTTAATAGCCGCAACACGTTGATCACATAAAGTCCCTTTGTACACAATCCCTCCCGCTCCTCTTCCAACCTCCTCTCTGAATCCATTCGTCGCGCTTTTGAGTTCTGCATAGGCGAACCTTTGAAATCCCGTGGCAGAAAGGAGGTGCTGTTGTTGATCCATTTTATCAGGTTGCTTGTTTGTTCTAAACAAGAAGAACCACACAAGGAAAATGCTTGACACCTCAAAGGCCCCAATCCCGCAAGCAAACCAAACCAAGAAACTCAACGTGGAGTTTCTTCTAGGCAATTGATAAAATCTATCCAGACGTTGGGACAAACCAACGGAACAATTCATGAACGAATGCTTAAGAGGCTCGCTAGAAGAGAGAAGAGTCACTTTTGGCAATTTTAGATACATCTCTCCGTCGAAATTTGGGCTGTCCCGTCCATTGAGTAGTATTGTTTTGGGGTAACAATTATAAGTATTAATTCCATTGAACTTGAATTGCACACCCCGACATTTATCACAAAGTTCCAAGCACAGATTTTGGCACTCCTTCAAGCTTGTAACGGCGGTCACATTGAAGTCATAGCCAAACAATTCCGTAGTTTTAAGATGGAGAAAATCCATAGACTCCTTTCTGTTGCAAGAAAAATAAGAAGGACTAAACTCAGGCTCGCAACCCTGAGTCCAATCATTAGGATCCTTCACCTTAAATCCTTGCAAGCAATAGCAAGTCCTTCCCAAAACAGGATGATAAGTGCACAAGCTGTTAGCTCCACAAATGCCATGAACAGTACATGGTTGGGAAATGACTTGCCATGACACCTCCCATATCTCATGCTCCTCGTTGAAGCTATACACACGCAAGTTACCATCAGGATCCATCTTGAGTCGTCTATGCACTATCCTTGGATAATCCGCAGAACGGATTGTAAACCCATCAGAAGACGAGAACTGTCCAAAGGAATCCAACACAGCGGTTTTGCTTACATTGTAAGTGGACCTCCCATTATCGATTGGAAGCTTCCACGTTTCTGGCCAGTACACGCTAGACAAAGTAGCACCCTTGTAAAGCAAACGAAGAACGTTGTCGTTGTCGAAGTAAAGTTTATAGAAACCAGAGGAATAGTTTGTTGTGCTTCTTGATGAAACAAGGCTTGCTTGTTCTGTTACTGCTTGGCCAGGAAGAAGGGTATCTGTTGGAGAATCAAAGCTTTGCCAAACGATAGTGGATTGTGAAGTGAGGAGTATGAGGTTGCCGTTGTTAAGCAGTTTCAGATGTGATTCGAAGGGGGAGCAGGTACCGGTGGTCCAGATAGTGGTTCTTTCTGCGTCGATCAAAACGAGGTTGCCGTTCTTCCAAAGTGAGAGTTTTGAGCCTTTGCCGTTGACGGGTTCGTCGCGATTTGCCATCCATGTAACGGTGGGTGGTTTGGACCTTGTGAACCACACGGAGAAGCAAAAGGCGTTGTTTCCGACTTGAAAGAAGCCAGCGGAGAAGTCTCCATTGGCTGAAACCAGCGTTTCGCTTGGTTTCTCTACCGAAAGTGAAGATCTTTCTGGTAGTGTGTCTGTCACCGCAAAAGCAAATGAAATTGAGGCAAAAATGAAAAGGAGGAAGAAGATTAGCATGTGCATTGTGGGAGTAAATATGTATAGGAATGAACTGATACAACGATGAGTTGTAAGTTATGGGTTATTCCCAACCTGTTACCTGTTTAAATATCTATTTTGGGTTTACCTTAATTTTAGTTTTATCTTTTAATTATCATCCCTACTTCTAATACGTCACCCCCGAATTTTCACGAGATAGTCATCGATATCAATATTTTATATTTTATATGATCAAAATTTAAATAAAATAAAATCATAAAGATCAAAGTTTGAAAAAAAAACTATAAAGATTAAAAATTAAAATTTTATAATATATTTTGAAATCAAAATTAAAAATTAAATTATTTATAAGTTATGATTGATTCTAAATTTTATTAAATATTATATTATAATTTTTTTATACATCAATTTTATTTTATTTTTTAATCAATTTTCTTACCTACCTTCACCCCCTCATTTGTCGCGCTTAAATTGATCAATTTTCTTATTATTGTGGATAAGATGGATGGCTGGCTAATTAGTTATGAAGTTGGTCTTTATTTTTATTAAGCTAACTGATTCTAGGATTCAGCCAATGGATTTTGTATTTTAAATCAAACTAATTTACTTTGGCTAGTTTATCTGTTTGGCATCAAATTTAAATTACTTGTAAAATAATTTCTCTACTTTCAACCTTTTCGATGCTATACGTTTTCACTTTTCAATATTATTATTTAGGCCTCTCTCCTCGTTGTATCTTACATATTCTTGTAGAGATCAAGTACACAATGTTTATTATTTTATTATGTTAAGAGTCGAAGCATATCATGCATGTTTTAATTTTAAATAACGAATTAAATAAACATCAAAGAATATTTAATTCAAGTGATATATATTTATTTTTTATTTAAAATTTTGAGGAAATTAATCTTATCATAGGATGAATATTTTTTATCCGAATAAAATTATTGTTAATAAAAAGTATTTATAATTTAGATAAACATAAAACTAAATCAATAGGAAAATATGAGTTAAGCTGTAATATGAAATGATTGCTGGTGAAATGTTATGTTAACATTTAAATTTGATTAAATGTATAAACTTGTAAAGTGTCGGCATTTTATCTTACAATTAGTACAAATTTAAATTGATGAATAAAACATATTATTTTATAATGTATAAAGTTTTTTTTAATATATTTTTAATGTGTAAATTGAACAAATCCCATATCGGTTAATCGATTTAATTTGGATTAACTTAAAACACACGTGATAAATTAAGTAAATCAATCCAGTTTGCTTTTATATTACAACGTCGTAATTAAATCGCTAGATAGACATATATATCGTATGTTTAGAGAAAACGATAAAATAAGAAAAACTTGAATAAAAATATCATGGATGATATGTTTGTTAAAATTTTTATTTTTATTTTTATTTTTATTTTTCTTCTCTTTTCTCTGCTTAGAAAAAAAAAAGAAAAAGAAAAGGATACACGTAAAGAGTTGAATACATCTAGATTATATAAAAAAGAAAATGAAAAGCATGAGGGTTTCCTTCCAACGTCTTGCATGGTAGCTTCCTGTGGGATCAATGGATTCACGCCCGTAGCGTCAAGGGAAATGACAAAATAATATCAACTTGTACTTGTTTGTAGTGCGCTGGCAATTTCAATCATTATCCTTGTTGATTAAAAGTGATGAATTTAAATAAATCATAGACTAAATTCAAAGTAAAAATTTTAAGAACAAAAATTAAAATCTCATAAAAATACAAGAACGATAAACATAATTTATCCAGGTAGTTTTTTAAATCATTTCAAATAAAATTAAAGCTTAACAATAAAAAATTAACAAGGTAAGTTTTAAATTTTGATTAAAAATAATATAAAAATTCTAAAAAAATGCACACAAATTTTATCATATGTTTATCTCTTCTTCATCTTTTTGTTTTATTTGTTAGGAGCATCAATTTAAAATTTCAAAATAAAATAAGTAAATATCACGGTTAAGTTGTTCAAAGTGTGTGATTCCACTGCATGGTAATAGCTATGTTATTGGAATTATTTTTGACTTATGGAGAAGCTCAATCATTTTTAGAAGAGGGAGATGGAAAATTCCAAATAGCTTTGAAAATAAGCACTTATCTAATTTCGGAAGAAGCCACGCCCCACCATTATATAAAGAGGTCTTGAAGCATTTAAACCTACAGCGAATAAATTACAAGCAAGAATAAGAGATCACTTGTGTATGAGAAAGTGCTAAGTGAATACGGCTCATTTCTTGTAGTTCTCGAGTCGACAGATACATTTTGTAAGGTGATATACATTTGGAAAGGAATTTTTTTTTTCAAAATTTTTAATCCTTATTTCAAATAGTAAATTTTTATAAGTTTTGTTGATCTCTGTTTTAAAAATGAGTTTAAGTATCAAAAAATAAAATAAAAATATAAAAAAACACACAGTTATTATATTAAAGTTATAAAAATATAATAAATATTTTTTTAATAAATTTTTATTATTATTAACTGTTTATTTTTAACTCTAAGAGCTGAGGTTAACAAAATTCAACTTTTATTACAACATTTTTAATGGATGCAAATAAGAAGTGTAAGGTGATTAACCGCACTACTTTTTGTTTTCTTACAGTAGAGACTCATCCAAGTTCTGCTTCCTCATCGACCCAAAAAATAAGAAATACTTCCTCTGAGGGACCAAAATATAAAGTAATTGCGTGCTGACTGCGTTTGAAATTTATGACAAAAAATGGAAATAAGTAGTGCGGTTAATCACCTTATTTATGACCAAAATATCCAAAAAAAATTGCAAATTAATGATGATTAAAAAAATTATATTATCATTTTCTTATAAATTTTATATCAATAAAAAGTATTTAATTATAATAATGATGATTTAAAAAATATATTTTATTATTTATTTAAATTAATTAATAATATAGAAATGTTTATTTTAATAATACATTAAAATTAAATTCACGAAATATACCGACTTATTAAATAACTTAATTTGATGAAACAAATTTTTAAGCTAATTAAATGATTTATGAGTTAACTTATTTAAGATGTTTAACACACCAAAGTATTATGTTTAGGCGGTTCAAAACCACTCAAAATATTTTTTATTTTTATTTTTTGAATACACACTTTCTTTGTCTCATATTAAAATTTATTTGTTTATTTTATTATTTATCACTTTAAATAGAAAAAATAAACTTTTAATGGTATTTTTATTTATTAGAAATAAATTTTTAATTAATTACTGTAATAACTTTAATATTATTGGAAGAGTAATTTTTATTAAGTAATTACTACAATAATTTCAGTATTCTTAATAAATATGTTTTAATAAAATAATATTTTTATGTATGTTTCGAAACTTAAGTATTTAAAAACATTTTGTATATAAACTTCCTGAATTTAATTTTTGAAAACCAATTTTAAATGTATTTTTTAACTTTAAAATCGGCATTAAAATTGAAAGTAATAAAGAAATGAAATCAATATTTTTTTATCATCATAAAATATAGCATCAAAAGAAAAGAAAAATTAAGGTTGCAAAAGGCAACTCCCTAGTATTTTGAACGGAAAATGTTTAAGTTTGCGGAGGAGGCGTCAAAAAAAAATTGTGCAGGCTAGGTGGCTTTTTCATTTGATAAAAAAAATAAATATATGCAGCATGACAAAAAGAAAAAATATATGTTTGTAATGCCTACATTTCCTTTCCATAACTGCTGTACAACTCTAATTGGGTGTCTCACTCAAACAAGCAAACAAAGAAATAAGTCAAACAGGATCAAAGTGATCAAGAAAAAAAAAAGGATTGTAAAAAGTTAAAATCGCACACCATACTTCATAGCAAAATAGCCAACGGATTTCTTTTATTTTTCGTTCAGCAACACAAACAATTTTGAAAGCAAGAAATTGAGAATAAAATCATATCCTAAAATTTTATAATCTCAAGTGATGAAAAATTTGTACAAAATAAATCACAGATTTTTTTGGTTCTCATTCGTGTGCCCCCTAACAACAGGATTTTGCTGTTGGTTAACCTTGCAAAATCGTCTTATATTTGTCCAATTTATCATATCCTTTAATTTCCCAGGCTTACACATCACTTGCCCAACATGTCTCACTACAAAACAAACCCTCCTTTCAAAAATGAAAACGTCTCTGTCGTTTATGTTGTCTACGTGCCCCAGTGAACAACCTCAGCCTCAGAATTTCTCAGCCAGCGTTCCCATATACATTATTTCATCTTTTAAGTACCTGAAAATAAATAAAGCTTAAGAATCAACCGTCCAATTTCTTCTAAAAATAAAAATAAATTTTCTCCCATTTCTTTGTCATTTGAATTTGAATTTAAACTCTCGTGTCTATATGTACAATATAAATACTAGTACTATTTTTTTCTTCTTCTTTTTGGGTAAAGAAAAAGTTATAGTAAAAGAGAAAAACAAACAGTTTCAGTTCTCTATTCGACCCTGTCAATTCCCATGCGCTTAATGACGGAGTTTCTAATCGATTGTGTTTGCAAACACAAACCATTACGCTCCAATCCAGACATGTAGTTCCTAACTTCCATTCGAATCATCTCTTGCATCCCGTTCAGCAACTCTTCGCTAAACACGTGCTTTCCAGAACCTAATTGTTCACTCGGTCCCGATTTAATCTCTTTGACGGGATTGGCACTACAACTGGACACTTGATTCTGATTCGGATCTGACCCGTCGGATGAATCGGATCCGGGTAGAGATAAGCTGAGTGAAGTGAGTGGATCGGTGACCGAAGACGCAGTTTCGGCAAGCGGTTTGTAAACCTGGATGGGAGTGGGAGAAATAGGGGGCAAAGTAGAATCGCTGAAATCGGATCCGGATGGAGAGCTGGGAGTGACGGGTTGACCCGAGACAGTGGCGGATCTTTTGGGAGGGGGGTGTTGAGCGATGGCGGGGCATTTCCTCTTGAGGGTTGAATTCCAATGGTTCTTGATGGAGTTGTCGGTGCGGCCAGGGAGGAGGCGAGCTATGGTGGCCCACTTGTTACCGAACCTTGCATGCGCTTTGACGATGGTTTGGTCTTCCTCCGGAGTGAATGTTCTGTGCTGGACCTGAGGGGATAGCTGGTTGCACCAGCGTAACCGGCATGACTTACCGGAGCGACCGGGAATGGATTTGCTTATGAGAGTCCAGTTTCTAGGCCCGTAAGTGTCAACCAGTCTCTGCAACGCTTCGTCCTCTTCGGGGCTCCATGCCCCTTTTATCCGATCCAATTCTTTCTTTGCGGAACCCATCCAAATCCTATGAATATAATAAAGTGGAGTGAGAGGGAAGGGTGAGGATTGAGAGGAAGGGGAATATATATTGATATATATATATAAAGTGGAAAAGCGACGATGACGACTTGTAGAGTCGGTGAATGCAGTTAAGAGGATAGATTTTCTTTTCTACGGCGATAAAGAAAGTGAATGTTATACTATGTCTTGTTGACGCCCTCGCCAAGTCTATGATAACTGCGGCTGAGTCTGAGTAATAATAGAACCTATTCTCTTAACTACAATTCACCATTTATGAGTGCGAGCAAATATTTTCTCAGTAAATATCTCAACATATGAACTTAATAATAAATCTCTCCTTTTTCAATTTTATTATTTATTAATCAAATTACTGTTACATTTTAATTATCAAACAAAATAGAATTTAAAGTTTTAATCATACTATAACACGCACTCTTTCTTTAATCATCCAACGCATACAAATATTATGTACGTCAACTTTTTATTAAATTTAACATATCAATATTTTATTAAATATTACTTTTTAATAAAAAAATTCTATTATATGCTTTTTTACATAAGTGATAAAAGAGAGATTTTTTATTATATGTTTTTATTTTAATTCATACGTGTATAATGACAATTGAAAAATAATATATATTAATTTTTATCTATTTTTAACGTGTATTATAAAAAATACAATCATAATTTATATAAGTGAATTTTCATTGTAAATATTAAATTAGTATATAATATAGTATATTAATAATATTGAATATTATGTTTTTTTGATAAAAATATTTTTTTATTTCTTAACATAAATTTACATATAAATATTAAAAATTATAGATTTAACACAATTTAATAATATTAAATATTATATACGCATATATATATATATATATATATTACTAAATACATAAATTAACTTCTAGAGACTTCATGACATACTGCATTTAATCATACAATTTATAATAAAACCTATTATAGGTAAATATATCGTTTCACGTGTATTAAAAAATTCATAAACTTTTATTTGATAATAATTGATTGAATGCATTAATAAGGTTATAGCAAATGCATATTAAAAAATAATTTTTAATGTGTGTATGTAATGATAAATAAATAAATAAATAAATAAATAAAATATTAAAAATTATAATATTTAATATTATTAATTTATTGTATGTGTAATTTTTAATAAAAAATTGATGACAGTATATTTTTGAGCACATATTTTTAAAATACATTTTTTATTATTGTCTTAAATTTTTATAAAAAATATACATAAAGTTTACTAACTTTTTAAATTTTGTAATAATTGACATATTAAAAAAATACGATTCTATCATTCTTCTTCTAATAAAAATTCACCATATATAAATTATTCACCTAGTGCATGTGATAAAAAAATATTTAATGTTATAATTTAAAAATGGATAACTTGCACTTTATGGCTAAACTTTGAAAGGTCTCACAAGTCACAAACTCTTTGTTATCCAAAAAATATGGGATTTTAATGAATAGAGGAAAATATTTAGAAACCCACTTAAACGTTGTAACAGAATAATTAAGTGTAGAGTTGGTGCAAAATAAGGAGAGAAATGAGGAAAGATAAACATGGCTTTTCTCGTGCTAGTAGCTACGTCATTTATGAAAAGATTAAGGGACCCATTGTGATTGGATAGAATTAAGGAGAACCTGAGCGTTGGAATGACAATGTCCACGATTTTTCTTTTATCCAACTTGTTCATTAATAATAGCCGTCTGTGACCACTACACTTGGAACCATCGACCCATTAACATATATTATTCCATACAAGCAACCGCTTTGCGTTCGCATTATTATTAATCTCTTAATCTGCAATAGATTATCGATCAAGTGCTTTACAACTAATAGTGTTCGGTTGATTGATTTATAAGTAATTATATTAATATGATGAAAAGCATTTTCCTTTGCCTAGTGACTTATATAAAATTACTAGGCCACAACATCTGCATCCCTACGACTAAGTTGTGGATCCCTCACGTCAGGTCCCGTCAATGTTAGTTGGGAAACATGTTTTTCTTTTCATAATAACAAACACCCCTTATTAACTTCTTCCCTTCTCCACGCCAACACCACAACTTAGATATTTATGCAATACAATCACTCTTTGCATAGTTTGCTTTCACATTATAGACGTTAGTTTTTAGAAGGTATAAAAGATTATCCTGCATTAATATATAAATTATCTTTATTAAATAAAATTGTTAGTCGACGTCTTTGATATTAATGCATCATATTAATATTTGATGTATTGATATGTATTAATGTTATATATCATATATTAATATAAAGTTGAATTATCTATACTAATACTTAGTATATTAAACGGACCAACAAATTTTTATTATTTTTTTGCTTATATCTTGACAAAAATAATTTGATATATCTATTTCTACAATTGTAAAACTACTCGTTCAGTCGTTTAACCGAAGATGGGAGTGGGAACTTCTATTCCTTTACTCCAACCAAGCATGTACTCGCGTGTAAACAAGGAGCAAAGTTGTCTGGGTGTCAGGTCACCCTCCCAAATTCATTTAAAAAATTTCACCAATTTTAACAATATATGGTTATTTTTTAAATTTGTATTTATTTTTTTATTAGTGTTAAACAAAATTAACTATTTAAAATTTTACTCTCTTAAAGTTGCCATTTTCAACAGAAAAGTAAAAACTTGTAATATTAATAAAAAATATAATATAATATAATATATCTTTGATAATCGAGGGGAAGTGAAACAATTTTTATTATTAATTTTATATTAATCGATAATGAGATTAATGATTTAATTAAAAAATATTAATATCGCATAATTTTTAATATATTAGAAAAGATATACACTTCCTTGGTGACCCTCCGTTGTTTAATATAAATGGAGGGTCACCGAATGTCAAAAATATCGTTTAATTTCATATGAATTCAAGAATACATTATTCAAAATAAATGCAAAGTCATCAATCAAAGATATTATTCAATCCATATGGACTGAAAAAAGGTAAACCTTCCCATTCAATTCTGGATTATAAATAAAGACCCTATCGGTGGATTATGCATTTGCACTGTCTCTGTTTTTCCGCACACCAACAATCAAATTCATAACACGGGCAAGTTTAAGGAAACATTAATTACTATAAAAAAAATTTATATCACCTTAAAAGATTAGCATTAAACATAGAAATTGAGAGACAGAGAGGGAAAAGGAGAGCGACGATGCAGGGATAAAAATACCTTGAAAGACCAAATTCATACGAATTACACTGCAAAACTTTATATTGCAAGTACATAAAGATTATTGAGGACGGGACAGTGAATTCATTAAGATCCTATCAAGAACCTCAGCTTAGCTTTTCGCTCTGTCTGTTCGTGTTCAAAGAATGATAAGACCCAGAAAAAAAAAAAAGTGAATGCCAACAAAGAAAATCGATTTGATTTTTTAATTCTTTAACCTGAATCTCAAGGAAAGTCATAAGGCCCAGCCCATTTATAAGTTATCATTTTTTTTTTCTTTAATATATTAGTCAGAATTTACAACCAAAAACAAAATAGCCACGACTTTTATTTACTTTAAATTCAATTAAGTTGAAAATTATGAATAATTTTATAAAATTTTAAGATAGAAAAAATATTAATTATTTTATATTTTAAGAATATTATATATTTATTTTATTTAATGACATATTAAGTATTATAAAATAATTAAAATACAAAGAATAACTAGTTTAAAATGTTTTATGAAATTATAATATGTCAATTTTTTCCTAACTTTTTAAAGAAGACTATTGAAGTAAAAAATGAATGTAAATTAAAACTAAAGAGAATTTGTTTCATTAAATTGATTATTTACATTTTTAAATTTAATTATAGCAGTTAAAAAATAAAAAATTTAATATTTATATAACGTATAAATTAAAGTATAATTTTATTTGGATGAACTTGTAAATAAGTTTTTATAAAAAAATTAGAAATAATTTTTAAAAAAAAAAGTAAAAAAATTTATCCAATATATACTCCGGAATCTTGCACGGAAACTGAAGATTTTCATTACGTGTAATCGGTGAGGATAATTTGTACGTACATAAACGTTTAATCGACGTTAAAGGTTGACGACCCCCTTTTCTCCGGAGGAAAAAAGTTGAATGTAATACAGAAGACTTTCGTTGACGTGTTAATTTAATTATTTATATTATTCTACATGGTTGAAGAATCAGACACACCCTGTACGAGAAGCAATTCGCAAATACTAAAAATAATAAGGTAGCATCTCATCATATGTTTTCTTAATTTTTTTCGAATAGTATTTAGTGGAGGATTAGGTGTCCAGTAAAACAAAATGCATTTAATCCACGTTTAACTCTTTAAGGCAAGCATATTTTGGACCCCCTCAACTTTTCTGCCAAGAAAGAAAAGAGTGGAACGTAAAAGAGAAGACTTTCATTGACGCATTAATTTAATTTGTTTGTATCAGTTTAAAAGGTTGAAGAATTAGATGCAGAGTTTGTGAAAAGCAATTGGGAAATATAATAAACGAGGGAGCATCTCATAATTGATTAATGTGCTCCGCATATGGCGCACAAATAAGCGAGCGTGGAAAAGAGCTTCTCCAATTTCTAATCTCCGATCTCAATCTCAATCTGATGCCTCCATTGTTACTATTGGTGTTTCTGATTCAAGCATGGCCAGTGAAGCCACAAGCTGATAGAAACATATTTATATTGGCCGGTCAGAGCAACATGGCGGGACGAGGGGGCGTAGTAAACGACACAACCACCGGGGTCACAACATGGGACGGTGTCGTTCCTCCACAGTGTAGGCCCAGTCCTTCAATTCTTAAACTCAACGCGCAGCTAATGTGGGTGGAAGCGCGTGAGCCACTCCACGCCGACATCGATACTAAGAAGACAAACGGGGTTGGGCCTGGGATGGCATTTGCGAATACTGTGTTGGATAAGAACGCAGGATTTGGTGTTGTTGGTTTGGTCCCTTGCGCGATTGGAGGCACCAACATAAGCGAGTGGGAACGGGGTAAAGAGCTTTACAATAAGATGATAAAGAGGGCCAAGGCATCGTTGCACGATGGAGGAAGTATCAGAGCTCTTCTTTGGTATCAAGGAGAGACTGATACCGTTTATTTACACGATGCCCAATCTTACCAAAGAAGCCTCCGCAAGTTCTTCTTCGACGTTCGTGATGATTTGCAGTCTCCATTGCTTCCTATAATCCAGGTATTTTCTTTTTATTATTTTTTCTTCAAATTATTCATTTTTTAATTATTATTAATCACTAGTTATTATTCAATAAATTGGTAGGTTTGGTTTGGTTTGGTTTGGTTTCACCTTCCGTTAGTTGTTTACACATTTTCAAGAAAGTGTAGTTGAGATTGATATATATATATATACATCAACTTAATTAATTCGGAGCAAAGCAATGTCTACGTACCTTTACGTATGTCGGAACAAACAATGAACAAGTAGCTAACAACTGACTTATAGGGAAGTGATAGGAATGGAAGAATCTTCAATTTTTAGATACCTTTCAACTCTTTGCTTGGACCATTTTCTCTACTTAAGAAAGGCAAATATGTAACCCCTTGTAAAACGACCGCAATTAAGCATACCTTTTTGTTAATTTTGTCTTTTTCTACCTTTAGTGTAAAAAAGCTGTGCATTTTTTTAATAATGTATGGCATTTTATTAATAAATTTAAATAATGTCCCAATGCATCATTAAATAACAGCGGCAAATATTTTACGATGAGAGTCCATTAAAATTAAGATCAGCTATTTTTTTTTAAATGCAAATATGAATTTTCTAGGGTTGTAATTTCATTTTTAATGTTGAATAAGATTAATATTGAGCGTGCAATTTAATAAATGGTTGCCTGTTGGATGATTGTTTTCTGCTATCGCTACTAATCTATCAAAACGGGTAGTGATCTTGTTATAGTATGAGCAATAAAACTATTTTCCTAGCTTTACAAGTGATATATTGGTTTTGGCTTGATAATAACTTTACACAGACAACTTAAATTCACTCAAATGTTAAGCCATAGAGACAACTTATATTAAAATCTTAATCCAAGAGAGTGAAGTGTCTTTGTTAATGTGACGGATTCACTTGCCGGTGGCGATCTGTTGAGAACCACACTGACGCGCGATTGAAGATGATTTTTTTTTTTTTTTGCCCTTTTTTAATTTATCCTTTTTTTTTCCTGTTGCTGTAGGTAGCCCTGGCATCTGGATCAGGCCCTTACGTAGAGATAGTAAGACAGGCCCAGCTGGGTATTGATCTCCTAAATCTGAAAACTGTTGATGCTCATGGTTTGCCCCTTGAGCCCGATGGGCTGCACCTTATGACCTCGGCCCAGGTTGATCTTGGTGGAATGATGGCTAATGCATTCCTTCAGTTCGTACCCTCTTCCACTTCAAATCACAATGTTAGCCGAGCAAGTAATGAGGCTTCTGTCAGGCTTTATGATTGTGCCTTTTATGTTTATACGCTCCCCTTCTTCTTAACATTTCTCATAGTATTGTACCAGACTTTCTTATAGTAGCCTTTTTCTTTTTCATTACTATTTTCATCCCTAGGCATAAACACAATCACAAAATTAATTATATTTTGGAGCCTAAAACAAAATTCGAGCAGTGTATCAATCATTTAAATCTTAAAGCACGAGTACATTATGCTAAGAAGTTTCCGGTAATGGTATTCTTATCAGGACAAAAAATTCTGTAATAGTTATTTCGTGTATTATATTTTCATCAATGTACCATTGCACTTGCGTTTTTATTAGAAAATGTTGAGATATATAAAATCTCGTATTGAAGGCATAGCAACACATAAAAAGTATATAAGACAAAGGGCTTTCATCTATCACTTATCTAAGGCATTACATAGAAGTGAATATCACAAGCTCTTAATCCAAACAGTACTCTTCTCTCTTTAATATTAGATCAGACCCATAATAAAATCTTAATATGGTATTAGAGCCTAAATCCTAAAAAAATTTAGGCATAAAAAAATTCAAGAAAAAACAGCCAGCTGCACTTGAGAGAGATTGCTGAGATATAAAATCTTACATTATAACAATAATAAATTAATTATGGCGATAATAAATTATATTGAAGTAGTAGCTATCAAATACCTCCCAGAGTTGCTCTTTTGCACTGAAATGTTGTTAATTAAACGAATCCTAGCTCCTAATATATAATAGGATATTTGGATTTGAAGGCTAATAAAAAAGCTCGAACACAAATAATACACATTACAAAAAATCCAAGTCTATGAAGAAATTTTAAACAAAAATCCCACTTTTGTGGCATTAAAGGTAAAAACAAGGGAAACAACTATTCTAAACCTACATATTATAGGAAGCGGTGCATTTATGGATAGGAGAATTATCACTACTTCATTCCAAAGGATGTAGAAAATGAAAGTCATCAAATTCCTATAAATAGCAACTCTTTCAAATGGTTTTGACATACAAATATCTCAACAGTGCAAATGAGTTAGTTTTTAATGAGAGTGTGATTGTTTTTTCTCTGTATCTAGAGAGATTATAACTTTATTTTATTTAGTAGAAAAAATATCGTTTGTGATTTTTCACCGTATTAAGTTATAATTGTTTATGTCAAATATTGTGTATCATTTTTTTTGTTCTTAATTTTTAGGGGGAATTTGCATCATGACAAAGCATTATGCAATTTGGTAAGAGCGCCTCTGTCAAATGCTAGTCTTGAAAAGCTAGATCTTTGATCTGAAATCTACGTCGTACTGGAAGATGCATTTCACCTGGCAAGTACTGCATGGTTCACATACGTTCAATTCTTAACATATGTGAATGGAGTTCATTTATTTGCAATTCATCATTCAGACTGACTTTTTCAACAATATTTAAATTGGAAAAGAATGTAATTTAAATCAAGCCATTTCATGTTTCATGTCTTGTTCAGATTAAGTCGTCATCATGCTAATTTGTAAATAAAAAATACATTATAGTAATTTCATCTAGCTATGGGAGTTGATCATGCACCAAGAAATCTCATATGACTGTCATGCGATAATGATAAAAGACAGCGTGGCCCTAACCCGGTTTGGACCGTTCAAGATCACGATAAGGTTGGTATTTCGTGTCAATATATATTTATAAGTTTACAAGTTTGAATCATGTTCTTCAAAAAATAATTTAGAACCTCAGCATAGGTCCCCCAAAAAACAAAAGTCCGAACCTTAGCAATTTGTTGAAATACTTGCACAGTTGGACCATATACACGTCCAGCTTGGGATAGTTATGAACGTATAAGATCAGGATAAACATATTATTTTGTGATCGAAAATGTTTTTAGTACAGCTGGAGAGGGACACTTAAGGATGTTTATATATATATATATATATCTTCAGATGTATTTTTTTGAATATGTGTATTATAAAAAAAAAATATGGCGTATAATATTAATTTTTAAATAATGAAACTGTTTCGTTCGTCAAACTTTGCCTTAGACACACTATGAATATGAAATCAGGATAAACATGGTATTTTATGATCGTATTTTCGATATTAATTTTATAAAAAAAAACCCCAATGGTGTTAAAAATGGAGTAAATGACTTATTTAAAATACAAAAAAATGAAATTTCATATTTTAAAATTCTCTCTCTCTTTTATATATATATATATATATATATAAAAGGTTGTTATATTTATATTTTATACTATTAGCATCATGGTCAGACTAAATTGAAAACAATGTCACTTGGGAGAGGATAATGCATGCCTCGTCAAAATGATTGGATAAATCAAGTTTTGGTTTAGGTGAGGCGTATATTGGTTTGATTAATCCAATAAACTTAAAATGTTAAACTAAATTAATTAAAATAATTCAGATATTTTTACCATAAAATGATTGAGTTTGATTTATATGTTTAGGTCGAAATCAATTAAATTAAATAGAAAACTCGATCATCTTAGATTTGTATGATGCTTTTGCAATTTAGAAGTTGAAACCTAATAATCTATTACCCGATAATCGATACGATAAAACATTAATTTATTTATTTATATGCACAATACGATGATATTTTTATTTAAAAAAATAGTTATTAGAATCAATATATTAACCCGAGCCTCCTCAATATGCATAATATGATATTATTTTAGCTGAAATGGGTCATTGAAACCAATAATCAACCTAAATCTTTTATTTAAACCTAATGAAACGAACCTGTTATTGTTAGTATTATTAGTAATATGAAGTTGGTTTAGTTATACCAGTCAGCTACGTGTACGTTGGATACATGTTAGGGATGAGAAAGGTCGCAGGAGCCACCACCGCATGTCATACGTGTATAGAGTGAGGCACGACCACAATGGGTTAATCTATTTTTTATTCTCTACGCCAAAAATGGACAAGTCTTGTAATATACTAAGTATATATCGTGATGAGTATTGACCTACCTGCTTACTGTTTATCAAAGTCAAACCCTTCATTTATCGTCATAAAAAATTAATATTTTTAAATAAATTATTTACAGAATAAAAATAAATTACACATACCTTTATGTTATTTTATCTATATTATCTATTTTAACCAATTATTTATTAAATATTTTACTTCAATAAGGTAACGTTTAACGTTTTAAGTACACCCAAACTGATATTACCACCTCTTAAGAGGAGCACGTTCGGACAAAAGTGAAAATCAATCTATTCAGGATTGACAAAATAAATTTGTTAATGTTCAAAGTCATACATTAGCTATTTTAATTTTTAATTTTTTGTAAACAAATACATAATAAAAATTTATATATTAAAAAAAACATAATTGAATACATTAGTACTATTAAATATTTTAATTTTAAAAAATTAATATTTATAAATAGTTTATCATGTATTATTTTGCAAAAATTAAAAAATGATTTTAAATATATATAGATTTTTATTTTATGTCTTTGAATACATTATAAATATTATATAAGTTTTTTTAGGAGTGTGTCTATTATCACACTCATGTGTTAATTAGCTTTCCATGTGATTTTTATCTAAAATACATTTTTTAATAATTATGTTAATAAAAAAGTATTTTGCATAAAAAATTAAATTAAAAATATACATAAATATGATAATACACATAAAAATAAAAAATACTTATTATTGTATTCGTTAACTTAAAAATGTAATTTATATTTTAAATTAACAATTATAATTATTTAAATATTTATAATATATATTTAATATAATACTAATAATTATAATTACTTGACGTAAAAAATATAAAATATCCTTTTATTCTTAAAAATATCATAAATGTTATCTAATAATAATAATAATAATAAAAGCAAGTTCTACTGTTCAAATATGGAAACTGAACGATGAAGGATAGAAGAAAACAAAAGTCCTAATAAACTAAAAACCAGTGGCTACTGATAACGGCAACGGTAGAAAACCGTAAACAAAGCGGCATTCATTCCCAGATTCCGACCTCCATCAACCCATCCTGAGTGGCGCATCCCCTAAACATGCCATTACAGTTAAAGCCATAAGCCACTTCACCACTATTAGACACCGCAATAAGCCCCGCCATCCCTTCATCGAGTCGATGTTTTATGACGAAGTCCACAGCCTTCTGAAGCCCCAGGCCCTTGTATTCCATGACCGCCGCAACCTCACGCGCCAATGTCCCACGTATGATAGCCTCCCCTTCCCCGGTGCATGAGACCCCACACACCTCACACGCGTACGTTCCAGCACCTATCAGGGGTGAGTCGCCGATCCGACCGCTCATTTTATTCATCAGCCCTCCTGTCGACGTCGCAGCCGCACACCTTCCCTCGCTGTCCACCACCACGCACCCTACCGTCTCCGGCGTGTACACGCTTATTGGCAATCCATTCATTTTCATGGGACTCTCAACGGCTGTACCGCATGTGTCGGTTGCCGCCGTCGGAATCCTATAATCAAACTGCAGCATCATCAACAAAAGCAAAGATTCTTTAAAGAAACATGAATTTGCTTTTTTTGTTTCTACATTGAATCCAAGACTCTTTATAAAGTTAGACTATACAGTTGCTTCTTTTCTGGTATAATGTTAAATGCGTACCAGGATTGTGTTAGACTCCTTTGCCAGTTTCAGCATACCGACATTATCGGGAGTGATGAAATATTCGTTCTCCGCAACTTCCACACCCTAATACAAGTCCATACATCAGTCTTTTTTTTTTATGGTAACTGGCATTGTGTTCATTGTATTTCTGACGAAATAAAATGTCAAGGTTTTTCTTAGGATTTATAGGAAAGAAAAAAATTGAGAATAGAAGAAAATAAAATGAGACAGAAAAAGAAGAAAATATTGAAATATAAATACTTCAATTTATCTAAATTACCTTTCTCAATAAACAATCTTATTTTATGTGAATTAATGAAGTTAAAATATCATAATAAAATTATATTAATTTTTTGTTTCACTTCTTATAAACAGAATCTCATTACCTAAAATAAAATTATTTGTTCCATAAAAAAATTGGAAAAAATCTAATTACTTATATTTATAACAGGAAATTATCAAAGAAAGGGAAAAAAAATAGATGAGTTAGCGCCAGCGAGGCAGGGAAAGATACTTAGTTAATTATCTTGAATTTGTAGCGGGAAAACTGGAATGAAAGTGGAAACGATAATGAACCTGTTGCCTGGCAAACTCTTCAGCGCCGGAGAAAGCGAGGTAGGAATGTGGCGACTTTTCCATGACAAGGCGAGCGAGTGAGATGGGGTTTTTGACGGTGGAGACGCCCGAAACGGCGCCGCATCGTCTCTTTGTACCCTCCATTATGCTTGCCTCCATCTCCACTGTTCCCTTCTCTGTTAGGGCAGATCCACGCCCAGAGTTGAACAGAGGATCCGTTTCCAGTTCCCTCACCTGTCATGAAACCGATCCACAAATAAATGAATTATTATATTATTATTATTATTATCATTGATGGAATTTATTCATTTATGTTGTTATTATGTACGGGCACACGGGCAAGCGATGCATGAACTCGCCCGGTAACATTTATAATATCTGTCTGTGTTTTATTCACACATGAAACATAAGAGTTGATATTAGGTTTGAATAAAACATACGACAAGTTCAACGACGTCGAGGGCGGAAGCATTGGAACGGAGTGCAGAGATGCCAAGATTGAGACAGCGAGTGAGGAGTTGTTTGGCTTCTTCCTGACGGTGGGTTGGGAGGTTAGGGTCCACACCAGCTCCTCCATGCACCGCTATCGCCCAACGCTTCATTTTCTCGCTCTCTCTCTGCTCTGCGTTTCCCTTCTCTTCCATCACTGTGTATTTGGACTGCAAGCAACTTGGATGCTGCTTTTATAAACAATTTCGGACTTCATTACCCAAAAATTCGAGTTAGATGAGCATAAATTTTAATTTTTACAATTATTTAAAAAATCATCAGCATTAATTAGAAAGATTCATTTCTAAAAAATATATTTTAAAAATTCATGAATTTTAATAGACAAGTATTTTTAAATTTTATAAGTGTCTTACTATAAATCACTGTTTGTTTTAAAGATAGTCAACGAATTAATAAATAGTAATTTTTATTAAAAATTATACTACGATATATTACAAATTTTATACTAAGTGTATTTTTGCACTCTTTTATTTTTTAATATTTTTAAAAGGACACTTGTTAATATATTATAGAAATGATCAATTGAATTCTAAATTATTCTTTTGTGGGGTTTAAATTTTATGATACAATTTTTTATTCTCTCTTTGTTATATTTGTTATGTAATTATTCTAATTTTTTTTTATTTAGGATTTAGGGTTTATTAAATAAATATATTTTTTAATTTAAATAATTTTTTTAATTATATTAATGAATTGAGATATAATTTATGTCATTACTTAAATGAAATAATTTTTTATTCAAAAATAAAAAATAACATATATTTACTAGTCCTTACAGTTAAATGAGATAGTAAATATCATTTCTGCTTATTAATTAATCGTTTAATTTTTTTAAAAATATTGATCATAATTTTCTCTTTTTTATGATAAATTTATTTTAACTTTTACCAATAACACTCTTCGTTAAATTCAATAATTTAATAATAAACTTAATATTCAATCAATCTCTTATATACATCTTTACTTATAAAATACGATACTTAGTATTGAAATAAATATATAATGAACTATTTTTATATAACATATTCAAAGTTTTGATTTTTTTAACCTACAAAATATATAAGTTACATATCCCCTTTCTCATTTGAAATTATTTTGTAAAATAATTCAAATAAAAAATTTCTTTAATAATTAAGAAACCTATTTTAAATTACATGTCGTCGTATTTTAAATTATAACAAATCTACTATTGTTTTAAATTATCAATAATACCTTTATTTGATTCATTCTCACAACTGAACATGTTTTGTAATAAAAATGATATTTGAAAAGTCTTTACTATTATTAGATAATCGATGATTTTCCAAAATAAACATACAATGCCAAAAAGTTAAAAGTTGGAAAATATTAATATAGTAAAATGATATTAGATTCTAATATTTTTTACGAATAAAATTCCATTGATTCAGCTCGTCACTTTCTTTTTATATGTATATATACTATATAAAGTCCATTTTTAAAAAATTATATGATAATTTATGATTAAATGATAATTTTTTTACATTATTAATATATTTCAATTAAATTCTTAATTTATATACTTTTCAATTGTCACCTTTAAAAGAATAATGTAGGTTCTATATTTAAGTATATTTTAACGATAATCAATCTTCAACAGATTTTTTCTTGCGTAATAATAATCATATTTGATTGATAATTTGTAATAATTACTATAAATATTATTATTTTAAAAGATGAAACAAAGATAATAAAGAAAAGTTATAGCGAATAATAATGTTTCTTTTTTATCAATGAAAAAATAAGTCAGCAAAGCAAACAAAATAAACAAGATGACTAGGTCAAGCTGTCCTATAAAAAGACTCTATCCACACGACGGAAGCGACTAACAGTGTTTAAACTTTATTCTACCTTCCAAAATGTTAATGGATTGTCTTGGTAATTAATTACAACTTTAAACCGAAGATAGTTAAGTCTAAAATGCATTACAAATATGACGAGATTACATTTCAAAATATGATATAAATGTATTGATAACGTTTAAATAAAAAATTATCTTTTAAAATTCTTTATATGTTTAAAATTAATTGTCAGTGATGCACCAGAGGCTAAAAAAAAATCACTGGAGTGCATATTTATAAATATTTTCAACTATTTAAATGTTTATTTACACTGACGAGAGAAAGGGTATATGCCACGTTCATATCCTGAGGGAGAAGAGTGTATATTTAAGAAAAGAGACAAGATAAATATAATATATGTATATCTTTAAAAAAAAATTATATTGGTTAACATTTGTACTCACATTGTATCAAAATTTTAATTATATAGTGCACTATCATTGTAAATTTTTTATATCATCAATCAATAAAAATATATTATGAACATAATTTTGTATTAATTATCATTCAAATAGCGATTATTATTAGTATGACAATTTATAGTAGATAGTAGCGTAAAAAAATCATATTATTAATATATTTAAATTAATTTATTAATATTTAGTAATATTATTTGATAATTCTTATCCCATATTATTCAATACACATTTAATAAATAGTATATTGGTTCTATGATTAATTTTTAATGTTTCCGTGCATTAATTAGTACATTATCACTTTTTTCATCTCATCCTATCATTCCTATGTCTTTTTGAATTTTTTTTTATTTTAAATATTTATCATTTTATAAAAATTTTAGAATTTTACTTTTTTAATGATACCTATTTTTATTGGTATACATTTTTAATATTTAAACAACCCTATAATTATATTCTAATTCTTTTAATGAAACAGTTTTAATATAAATTTATTACAATAACTAGTAAATATTTTTGAAATACACATTACCTTAAAAGATATACAACATAAGACGAATGGCGTTTACTGTCCTATGATTATAAGATGTAAATATACATTTCAGAAGTCTTGTCTGGACACTGTTTGTTGAAAATGACAGAAAAAGACTGTCATAGGATGAAGCCTCGGTCACCTCGTCCCCTCTATAAAAAAAAGTTCGAAAAAAATCAATCATTAAATTTTATTACAAAAAGTGAAAATATAAATATAAATTATGTAATTTAAAAAAAAGAAGTGAAGTGACATTTTAAAAATGATTAGATGTATTAAACAGTCATAATTTTGCTTATTTTTTGTATGATTGTATAATTTAAATATATTTTTACAAGAAACATCTTTATATCATCTATCTTTTTTTTTCATTTGTCGACTAATTAGAAATATTTTGTTTTGTTAATTATTTAAGATAATATTGATTTTTAATTATAATTTTTGTATAATTCCTAAATCATTGTAATAAATGAAATAAAAAATATTAAATATCGTATTAAAAAAATGAAATGTATTAATGATATTTCGTAATGAACATATATTTTTTCCAAAATAAACAGGTAAAACTATATCACTAGAACTTTTTAATACTTGAAAGATAGACACTTAAAATCACGGACGAGTTACTTTTTGAAATTGCCAGCCTAGAAAACTAAGTTTTATAGCACCAACGACTAGAAAACCGGCACTCAATATAATCGGAAATTAGAATTATCAATATTGAATAATTTAATAAATTAAATAGCATTTTATAATTTCAAAAAATCAATTAACTGGCATTCACTGCTTTATGCAGTTACTTGATAAAGAATAAGTGGTTGTAGTATTAGTGAAAAAAAAAAAGGGGCGAAAGATCAGTGACGGACAGTCTAAAATATTTATTTTATTTATAAAAAAAGGGAGAAACATCTACAGTTATTTGACAAACTGAAAAACGAAAGACCTAATTCTAAGACTAGAACAAGAAGGAAAGGAAGAAAAAAGCGTTGCATCTAAACAACTAAGTGAGTACAGACAAGCAGAAGGGTAGAATCTTCATTAAGAAAGATCATGCGACACTCATTCCCAGATTCCCACTTCCATGAACCCATCCTCAGTAGCACAACCCCTGAACATGCCATTACAGTTGAAACCATAAGCAACCTCGCCAGTATTAGACACTGCAATGAGCCCTGCCATCCCTTCATCAAGACGGTGCTTGATGACAAAGTCCACAGCCTGTTGAAGGCCCAGGCCCTTGTATTCCATGACCGCTGCCACCTCACGCGCCAGTGTGCCACGTATGATAGCCTCACCTTCACCTGTGCATGAGACCCCACACACCTCACACGCGTACGTTCCAGCACCTATCAGGGGTGAGTCACCGATCCGACCGCTCATTTTATTCATCAGTCCTCCGGTCGACGTGGCAGCCGCACACTTTCCCTCGCTGTCCACCACCACGCACCCAACCGTTTCTGGTGCGTACACGCTAATTGGAAGTCCATTCATTTGCAATGGACTCTCAACTACTGCACCGCATGTGGGAATCCTATAGTCGAACTGCATCATCATTAAATACCAAAAAATATTCTTTAGTGAACACAGATTCCGCGTTTTCATTACTGCCACCATGTACCAACCGCACTTACTATCATTACTTGTTTCTTATAACATTAAATGCGTACCAGGATTGTGTTTGCCTCCTTTGCCAGTTTCAGCATACCAACGTTATCGGGAGTGATGAAGTATTCGTTCTCCACAACCTCCACACCCTAACACAAACGCAAAAACCAATATTTATTTATTTTTCAATATTTCAGATGACGTGGCACCAGAGAGGCAGTGACGGTTTCTTGTCTGGTGAGCGGAAAAAGTGGAATGAAAATGGGAAAGAGATGGAACCTGTTGCCTGGCGAATTCTTCAGCGCCGGAAAAGGCGAGGTAGGAATGGGGGGATTTGTCCATGACAAGGCGAGCGAGGGAGATGGGGTTTTTCACGGTGGTGAGGCCCGAAACGGCGCCGCATCGTCTCTTTGTACCGTCCATGATGCTTGCCTCCATTTCCACTGTTCCCTTCTCTGTTAGGGCAGATCCACGCCCAGAGTTGAACAGAGGATCCGTTTCCAGTTCCCTTACCTGTCACAAATCAAATCACCCCAACACCGCTAAATAAGCACCCGTTTACGAATGAATAATTGAATAATTTTTAGCAAATGCCGGGCAAAGACTAATATTAATTAATGGATTTTAATTTATTTTCATTTGTGTTGTTAAAAGGTACATGCATCTGGAACTAGGCATGCATGAATTGGGTATTGGTTACGAAAGTGTTTTTGTGGCATAGTAACGAGAAAGGAAGGACGTGGAAGAGAAGACATACGACAAGTTCGACGACATCGATTGCAGAAGCATTGGAACGAAGAGCAGAGATGCCAAGATTGAGACAGCGGGTAAGGAGTTGTTTGGCTTCCTCTTGACGCTGGGGTGGGAGATTTGGGTCCACACCAGCGCCCCCATGCACCGCTATAGCCCAACCTCCCATTTTCTCTATCTCTGCTATGCTCTGCGCTTCCCTTCCCTCGCTTTGTGTGTGTTTGTGTGGAACGCAAGGAACTTGGATGTTAGTTTTATAGGCAATTTCGGACTTGAAAATATTTATGTGGTGGAATTAAATTTGGGCTTGTGTTGTGTTGGGTTTGGGTTTCTTGCTACGCGGTCGTTTCGGGTGGATGTATCGTGAATCCGGTTGTTCCTGACTTGGACAACTCAGTTTCCTTATAAACAACGAAGGGGTGTGTATTCTCGAACTTGCCCCTCTTCGCAGCTGCTTCTGCAGAATGAGTCAAAATTCTGTGCCCAACCCCCCTGTCTTCTGCCCTGTTTTCCCTCTCACAATTCGGGACCGGACTCCACAATTATTATATATATTTCAAACTATTAAGTTTTTTTTTATACTTATATTTTAAATACATGTTTATGTATTAATTACTATAAATTACTCGTAAATATTAATGCTAATATTTTTAAAAGAAATATTACCATTAGTTTAGCTTATATTCTCTTTTATATTTGTAGTTCATTAATTTTGTCATTTTTGTGTAAAACTGTTATATTTATTTTCTAAATACTAAAAACAGTGGTTATCTCAAATAATTTAGGTGGACCACCTTCGTAAACCTATTTTAGAAAAACCAAATCTTTTAATGTATTTGTATTTTTAGCCTTCATAGTTTAGTTTGACTCTCAAAATATTTTCAATTATAATATATGATAAAAATACATTTCAATTATTTTTTAAAATCAATAAATATTTGAATTTTGATATGCACTTGATAAAAAATATCATTAGTGATTAAATTCTAATTTAATAGAATAATTTATTTTAAAAATGATAAATTTAAAAAATTAATAGAGACAATATTTAAATTCAAAGTACCAATTAATAAAAGAAATAAGCTTTAATTATTATTAAATTTAAATTCAGAATGCTTGTCTATGGAAAAGATAAAGATTTTAAATTAATCAATATAAAATTAAAATATATTATTTTTATTACTAGATACATGAAACGACTGATAGAGTAAGTATTACAAATTGCTAGTATAATTTTTTTAAAATTAATAAAAAAAATGTCAAAACTTGCTGAATGATAAGTTTTAAAAAGTAATAAAAAATTAAAAAATCGTTACTGCAATTTTTAAAAAATGAATATTTTTTAAAAATATTTGGTCAACAATCATTATTGATTTTGTAAAAAGCTTTCTACATTTCTGCAATTTTTTATAAAGTTAAATATTTTAGTAATTTTATAAATAAGAAAGATATTTTATAATCTTTTACATGTAAAATGATTATTACTATTAATTTTATATTAAACATATATAATAAACAGTAAACTTTATTTACAAAATATAAATACTTTATAATTACGGATACATGAACAATTACCTATAAAAAAACCCTTAATGTGACGTGGATGAATATGGAAACAGACATCAGTGCACACGCAACAAAGTCAGACTGCATGGAGCGAGACTCTCATCATTCTTGCGATGCACGGTCAGTGGCGACCTTCTCGGATGCTGCTCTCTCAGTAGATATATTTATTTAATCTCACTTTGGTCTCACTGGTTGCGCTAAAATTATTACACCAATTAGCCCAAGATGTTCCCTTTCAACGCCTCCTTTTCTTTTTATATATTTATCACTGCGCGGATACAGTATTTTTTTAGAAGAATCTACCGGTAACCGTCATTTTTAATCAGGGAATCTGGAATCTCCTCTCGGGGGGCGCAAGAAATTGTCACCTGAATCGAAACGCTATATTATTTTTCAAGCTAGACACACGTTAACATGGACCACTGAATCTTTGCGGTACCAATGATCTGGCATCGGAAAAAATCAATGGCTCAGATAATTACTAAACTTATATCTTTATCCTTAATCAAACCTTTTTTTTTTGTTTCTTTTGCTAACAGAGCTCTGCAAGCATCACCACCCCCTTTGCCCCTCTTATGCCAATTGTTTGGGTGATAGAACATGCATGAATCAACATGGTTTTGTTGAAGGACTTAGATAGGAAAATCACATTTTAACCAATTCATGTTTTTCAAGAGTAAAATATGATTTATTAAAATTTTAATATTCCATTCCATCGGTGGGGATGGGAATCTTGTCCCGAGTTTTCAAAATGCAGTCTTTTTGTAGTATTTCTATTACCAAGATTCCTTGAAAAACAACAACAGCCTTACCCACCCCAACTATATGGCCGCATAATCCTGAAAACTGTCACTCACTCTCACTGTATTTTTGGAAAGTGAAATGTCAGTAATTTATTATTGGAAAGTGAAATATATGAACTCAATTTTCCATAATAGTAAATCTTAACGTTAACTAAAAATAAGATTTATTTTTTTAACTTGTTAACTACTTTTAATATTTTTTCTTAATTTATACAATTTATTCAAAAAGATGCTATAAAAAAGATGAAAAGTTCTTTTTACCACTTTTTTGGGGGGACACGGAAGGGGTATATCAATCCATTATAATTTAAGGAAGGTGGCCCTGGAAAAAACAAAATCGCCGCTTGGAACCTACTTAATTTTGTTAAGGGTTTTTCATCTTTTGGCTAAGTTCCGCAAACCCGGGGGCAGGCGGCTCATAATAAGCAATACTTATTCCGACACTTTTTACGGCAAATAATTAAATGATTTATTAAAATTAATAAATAATGTTTATACATCGTAAATTTATATTTACACTATTAAATAAATAAATAAATTATATTTGTATATTAAAAAATATTATTTATATAAATAATATGTGAATGTTTTGTTAATATAAGATTTATAACAAATAATGTATACATAAAATTAACATGTACATGAAAGAAAGCCTTTATTCCTTATAAATTATAATTATGACAAAAAAAATGATAGTTTTTTTTTATGTAAAATGGTTCGGAGAGGGGAGAGATGATTGGACTCTCTCTCCCCTACGTTGATTAGATTCTCTGAGAGATTATAAAATTGAAACCAGTATTAAGTAATTTAAAAATAATATGTGTTCTAAAACAAACAAAATGTTTAATAAGTATCAGCTAAAAGACCTTTGCACCGTGTTTTTTTTTTTTTTCAAATGAAGTGATAAGGATTAGTCGGCTAGTGTTGGTGACTAATTAACACGAAAGCTCACAGCTAATGCGATATACACGTGCTTAGCCCTTAACTGGCCTAAGACTGAATGAACACGCACGCCAAAGAAAAGAGCATGAGAAATTTTCAGAATGAATTTATCGGGCAATACTAAATTACGATTATGATAAATGGAGAGATAAGGATTGTGATTGGCTGCAAACGATGACTAATGATCGCCATAGATCTGAGTTAATGCGATATAGATATGTGGACCATGGACCATCTATGATCCAATTCTGACCAAAACCAACGCAAATAGTTAAACAAAGATATTATTTGAATTTAATAGTGATTATCAAAATTCTAAACCAATATTTAGGATTATGTTAGACTTGTCTTAAAAAAGGTCGTTAATGTATTTTTTTTATCATGATAAATGTTAACATATATACGGCTATTTGATACCTGTTTTATTATTAGATGAATATTGTTAATTTACTAAGATTTGCTCATACAACATTTAATGAAATGTCAAAAGATATCAAATAATGTATTTTTATACTTTTTTATTGTTAATTTTTTATTTATCCTCTCAATAGTTTGAGTCAAACCCTTATTTAAAAAATTCATACAGAATTCACTCAATAATGAATAATATTTAAAAATGTATCAAATAATATATTATATATTAACATGTTTTTCTTTTAATATATTTCAATTTAAAAGTAATAAAAAAACATTTTAAAATACTTTCGTTGTAAGTTGAAACTTCATCTTAATTTTTCATGAATTTTTTAGCTAATTAAATTACAAGAAATCAATGTAGATTCCATATAAAATTATAAATGTTTTTAAAAATAAACAATGTGTACTTTAGGTTCACGTGATACTAAATTTGAATCATCTTGATAAAAATAAATAAACGTGCTTGGAAGAAATTGACAAGCACTTCCCAGCTTTTGGGTGTGCCACTAAGTCATGACACGTCAGTGACAGCGATTACTGATTTTTTTGGTTCATTGTACAGCTTCCCCTTGTGCTATATTCCGGTGTCTCTGCTGGGTCCCGTGTGCTTGTGCTTGGTACGTGCGATGAAGTTTTTCGATTTTAAAAAAGTTATACACTCTGTATATACACACAGAGAGAGAGAGAGAGAGAGAGAGAGAGAGAGATGAAACCTTCTGTTCTCTTCTACTGAGCGGTATAGGATGTACCAATTCTCAACTATAGCAAACATGTTTTGTATGAATGGAAAGTTCAGACCAGCTTATCAAGACCTTCTTCAGTTTAATTAGTTTTCGAACCTCGTAAAATATGGCCATTTAAAATGGTTCCTTTTTACGTTAAAATAAATTATAAATACTTATTTTAAAGATTAGTTATCATCGGATTATTGTTGTTTTTTACAATTCAAAATTAAACTCCAGACAATTCATCTCCACTTTGCAATATTTATTCACCTTTTTCTCTCCCATTTACTTTTATTTCCATCCAATGGTGTTACGTGAGCGTGCTGGGAACAGGAATTTGGGCGAACAATATTTAGTTGCTTTTAAATATTTGGAAAGGAAGCCGTAAGTTGGTCCTTTACTGTGGACATTTAATACGGGGGGAAAAGGGTATAGACAATCAACAAATAACCAGACAATGATCAATTTGGCTGAACAAAACCTCTTTCTCCGCCCCCACATTACCAGGTAAAAGCACAATAAACCATACCATAAAAAGATCAAACACGGTCGCTTTCGAAAGTTAGGTGGCATGTCATGCACTGCAAGATGGTTCGAGATATGAAGATTTGAAATATCTACGATGATAGTTCAAAATTGTCACGTATTGGGTGATTTTATCGTGGGCCAGAGATTCTATCTACCGTTAAGTAAAAAATATTTATACCGAAATCAGTGTTTATTTATTTATAGCAAAATTCTTAGAACACGTCTATCATGTTTTTCTTCTTTTAGTTGGTATATCTCTATACAGTAACTCAATAAACATGTCATAAGAAAAGTGTTTTCTTTCACTGGTTTTTATATTTTAATTTGAATTAGATAAAAATAACAAAAATGATTGAATATATATAAGTATTAACAGAGGTGTTGGGCCACTGAGAGAAGGAAGGGCGAAGTGAAGAGGAGTGTAAGGGGAAGGAGATGGCATGAAAGCAACAGGGCACATGAGGATTGGTAGAAGTCAACATCAGATAGTGTGCACAAACACCCACAAAAGTCGGAGAGACGAAGAA